ATTAATATACTCATAAAACACTATTGTAAAATCTATAATGCAAATGCTTCATGTAAGATGTTACATAGTAAATGCTACAGCAGCGATTTTCCCAGAAAGAACAATTAGATTTTACACTAAAATGTTATGAAATTATTCCTGGCTGATGGATTCATATCACATGAATGCTGTGGCATATGCATTTGTTGTAAAATCACAATACTTTTAAGGATAATCTGCACAGTTCTACTCAAAAGCTTGTATCATAAATAAAATGCCTTTGGATCAAATACTTGAGAAGATATATGAGCCAAAATTTCCTTCAAAATCTCACCATTTCCAAAGCATAATTGCTAACAATACATAAGCCCTTTTTAGAATTTGAGGAAGTTTGAGATTTTAGGAAGCTGTTTGATTTTTTAAAAGATGCAATTTGGTTTCTAGGTTAAAAACAGATGTGAAATATAATATTTATACTATAAAGTAGGAGGCAACCTGCTTTAAGCAGACATTCTAAAAAAAAACTGAAATAATAGTATTTTAGGAAGACAGTGATCTATTTTGTTGATTTACATTTTATATCTCCACATATTCTACATATGGTGTTGAAATATTTCTGAAAAAATGTAGAAAAATATATACCTAAATTGTTTTCTAATTCAACAATATTCAGAGCAGGAAACACATAAAACGATTAACTTTTAGATTTATAGCTAGAATAGTAGTCCTTTTAAGCTAAAGAGTAAGGTCGCAACTACAAACTGTTTTAAGTGTAAATTTTTGCTCACCAGGCGAGACCCATTTACAGGGAATCAAAATCTCAGTTGTAGCCTAACCTTCATATTCCATGGAAAAACACTTCCCAATGAAAGAAAGCAGGAAAAGATAAGCCTGAAAGCTTTTAAAACAAGGTTGTTTGTCTTTTGAAGTTTTCCTAGCATTATCAGATGACAAAAGAAAGCAAAATGAAAATGCCAGAGAGAGTGTCTCTCTCTCTCTCTCTCTAAACCACTGAAGCACAAATACTTTTATCTTTTCAAACTGAGCCTCATTCTGTCCTATAATAAGCCTGAAGAGTGCTAAGTAGCAGGTCATGGATTCCGCAAACCAAATGGACATTAGATTCACTCTGGAAGCTTCAAAATTAAACAATTAAATCCAGATCTCCAGAAAGTTCTAATGTGCAGTTAGGTTAGTATTTTGTAGAACTACTTCTGGATAAATTTGTGTGCCTGTAGAGGAAATTGTGGAGATGGGCGGAATAAACTCACTTTTGGGTCTGAAAGTATACTATTTTAAGTACATTAGGTAACATATCTTGAAAATTTCAGTGTAAATATTTGTATTCATATTTTAAAAGATACAAGAATTGGGGCCATGTAGTGGTACAGCAGGTTAAGCCACCACCCATAACAGCTTGCATCCCATATGGGTACTGGTTCAAGTCCCTGATACTCCACTTCCAATCCAACTCCCTGCTAATGTACCTGGGAAAACAGCAGAAGATGGCCTGGGTGCTTGGACCCCTGCCTGGATGAATCTCCTGGCTTTGGTCTGACCCAGGCCCGACTACTGCAGCCATTTGGGGAGTAAACTAGCAGATGGAAGATTCTCTCTCTCTCTCTCTCTCTGTAACTCTGATTTTTAAATAAACATTAGCAACAATAAAAAGAACTATGTTGAAAATATGAGAAGTGGATCATGCTGTGTAAAGCTGATAAAATACTCATTATTGAATATGATCCTTTTCTAGCAATATTGTATTTCCTGAAACTAGTAGTGTTTGACCAAACATTCAAAGATTGAATGCTATGTATAAGTTCAGCAAACTATGGCTCATGGACCAAATTCAGCCACTGCCTGTTTTGTCAGTAGAGTTTTATAGGACTCACTCATACCCATTCATTTAATTTTTTATAGTCATACTCCTGTAACAGTGGAAGGACTGAATAGCTGGGCCAGAGGTCATGTGCCCCCAAAGCCAAAAACCATTTGGTTTTTTAAGAGAAGTTTGCTTCCCCTTTGTTATGGGCTAGATGTTTGGGTACACCCCAAATCCATATGCTGGGATCATGAACCCCAGTGTGAGGGTGTTTTAGTTCAGCAAGACCGCATTGCCAGGTGTCTGCTGTGTTGTACAAGGAGACGGTGCCTAGTCTACCATCACTACTCTAATGGAAGTTAACGGCCACAGGGTACACATCTCATCAGTGAGGAAACACTAGGAAAGGAAGTGAACCTACCATCTGTCACTCCTTCTCTTCGATGAGGCATTGCTGGTTGTTGGTCCATTCGCCCTCCCTTGTGTTTTTTAGTGGGCCTAGGCCTCTGATTTTGACTCACGGCTGCACTGGTATTACTGTCAGTAGAAAATGGGCTGGTGGGTCGAGGTCTTTGAGAGGAGGTAAAAGCTTTTCCTAGAAAGAAAACAAGGGGGATGGGGTACAGAGAATGTCATTACAATACACTGATTCTGATGCCTGATGCCTCTCCTCTTTCTAGAACTAACCTATAAGCCTATCTACAGATGCCATTTGAAGATATCAAATATTGGTGCATTTCTATAAAAAATACACTCTGTTGCAGATATTTTGTCCAGTTTTGATAAGGTAGCAACCACCGATTTATCAAGAAATTTCAGACAATTCCACATAAAACCAACCAGCAACCAAAAACTCAATCTTGCTTAATTATGGCTTTCTTTAATATGGACAGTGCTAGTGATGTTTCCATAGACTCTTGGCAAATTCATGAAGCTTTCACTTGTTAAAATTAAGCTACTTCTGAAGTGAATTGTGTACTGTACTATTTGTTTAATCAACTTTCACCTTGGAATTTTTCAAATTTTCTCTGAAAAATGCCCAGTAGTAATTACATTTGAAATTTTACAAGAAAAGTCTGCTCAGAAGCATCTATTAAATTGACCTTACCACCTATGCACTACACGATGAATTCTACCTTTTTTTTTTTTTAGCAGAAACTCAATAACATTGTAGCAGTATAAAATCACCTTGTATATTCAAAGTACAATAGGTGTTTTCTGATGAATACTATCGTACCTAAGAACATTCCAAATTCTCATGAAAAAAAAAATGTGCTATGTCCTTGTCTTGTGGTTGTGCAGGGAAATTTATTCTGGGAAAAGGTTAGGTAACAAATTTTAATCAGATTATGATTTTAACACTGTGTTTATTAAGGTGAGAGAGATATCTGGTTTATGTTCATGTATTTTTTCTCTTATGCATGTTTTCATTTCATACACAATTATATGTAGTTATATTTTCTTAAGTCAATGTGACATGATATTGCTTAATGCTTTATTAGCTATCAGTATACATGCAACAAACACACTTAGGACTTTTATTAGTTTCCTTGCACTTTCTTACTGCTCCTCTTACAGCTAGTGCTACAAAAAAAGCATTCAGGCAATATAAAATTTCTGACTTATGCCTTATAAAGCAAGAAAATTCAAATAACAGTATATTTCAACATATTTTAGTTTGGATGCTATATGAAAAATAAACCTTTGCAATGCTTTAAAATGTTTCTCATTTGAAGATACCTAATGCATGCTAAAAAGAAATATTGATGGTATGATCCAAATAACATTTCCCAGACTCATTTTTATGACCTGGGAGTTTAGTGAAGGGTCAAAATCATTTTTCTTTTCTTTACTACTTGAACACTATTAAGATTTCAAAAATGTAGTTAATGTTTCATTAGCTTGTTTTGTAAGGTAGCTCAGTTCATTTTAGAACCTTCCTAAATGTGCAGTTAATAAGTACCCATACAAATATAAGAGCATGTATCATGCCAAAGTTATTCTGTTTCAGCACAATAAATGATTACAAATTACTTAGCAGCACATGAAAAATTACATAATTAGTCTTCTATATTGTTACTTATTACTCTCAGACAGCGAAATTAAATTACTTTAAAGAGTAATACACATCTAGTCATCATTTTATTCAACTTGCAAATGCAGTAGGTGTATCTTTAATTAGCATCCTTTAAAACAAATAATAAATTATTGTATTAAAATCTTAGCCAAACAATTAATAAGACCATCAGCCATTTGAACTGACAGAGCGACAGTCTTAGACCCAAGCACCTCATGCTGAGAAAGCCTTCCCAGAAAATGCATTTGCAGAAAGAGATGAGGCAAAGGAAGGCACTGGAGATAAAAGCTGAACAATTTTAATCACTGTGCACAATATTGATTGTGTGAGGATTTTGCAAAGTGTGAGTTATTGAAAATTTAATGGCAATCTTAGTTGCGGCTTTGTTGTAATATAAAAAGGAAGCATATTCCAATTAATCAGCAGAGCTCTGAAGGAAAAAGGCAATATGGGAGGATAGGTGGTGAACAGGAGCCTGTTCTTAGCTCTGCAAAACTAGCAGCAGAGGGGAGTTCTGATACTAGAGCATCCAAACCATGGCCATGCATATTAAAGAAAGCCCTGTGGTCAGACTCACTGAGGAGAAAGAACAAGAGAAAAAAATGGGGGGTGAGTGCCCAAAGGACAAGATTCTGTCATGCAAAGAGTGTTGACTTGGGAGTCTACCAACCTGTTTTTGTAAGGCTGGTTCCATCCAGCCTAAAACCAGCTTTATCTGCTGCTGCCACCAGTGCTTGTGCAAAACTGCCGCTGGCAAAGATGGAGCCATCTGAGGAGCTACCTACACTAGATCTATGACTAGAAAAGTTACGATCCTCATCAGATGCAGAGCCCCATCCATTTACCATTGAACCTAAAAACAAATGTAGTTGTCTAGTGAGTTTTACGTATTGGATATCTCATCTGCTTGTACACACCATACTCAGGAGCAAGTAGGCTGCCTTCACTCCTCACTTCTTCCCTGAAGTGTCATCATGACCTCCTTGTCTTAAACACAGCTAGTGCAGAAGAATGAAGCTAAAATAAAACCTGTTATCTGTTTTTAGCCCAAGAACAAAACCTGTTTCATATGGTATGATTTTCACATTGTTCAAATTATACCAAAAGATCACCTTCCAGGAGAACTGTTATTATATACTTTAATTTCCTATAATTCAAAGAACACGTTTATTGAAAGAAATTATATGCATTTAAATCGATTTAGGACTTACATGAAGAAACAGTATATTTTGCTTGAACTCAGATTTCAGTAATAATCTCCATGAAAACCCATATACCCATATACTGTAGATATGCGTATATTATAGAAGGGCTAGAATATTTCAAGATTTTAAAAGAAGTTGCTCATAAAGTAACAACAAAAATTTGCAAGCAAATAAATCAACAAAATCAAACATACTTACAACACAAGAATTACATTTTTATGAAAGTTGTATTAATCTCAATGATCATTCTTTTTAATTATTTTAAGAAGTGCAATTTTATGTTTAAAAACTTTATAAAGAACATCGCCAGCATCAATATGATTTTTTCCACAAAATGCAACATAATAGAGGCAAGCAATGACAGCTTTACATGTAAAGAGCTACAAACTGTAAAGATAGGAGAAATAATTTTTATTCTTAATTTTCTAGCAAGTCATTTGCAAGATTATATTTTTGCTTAGACAAGAACATACTATGTACTTAGCTACGTAATAAAAATAATAAAAATACTTTGGTTGGCGTGCCATCAATTCATGACACAATGACCCTACTGACTGTTGCTTACCCTACTTTTTTTTAGAAAGGCAGAAACATTTATAAAAAGCTAATTTAAGATTTCTAAGTAAAGCAAATATGTATTTACATGAAAGACATGTAAGTCAAATGTTATGGATTTTTTTCTATTTTCTTCAATATTTAAGACAACAGTATAGTTAGGCCTGTTGCCATGATGCAGTCTTTCTAATTTTAGACAAGGGACCAAGATACAATAACATGGCTCCATGCACTTTCAAGACAGAGAAAACAGAAACTGAAGGGGTTAGAATGATCCGAGAAGTTAAAAGGGTGTTAAGTGTAGCAGAGAAAGATCGAATCCTGATTCTACTTGCCAGAAGTATAAAGATACACTTTTTACTCTCCAAATAAATTCCCTTGACACAGACCACTGCAAGGAAGCTGAGATAACACCAGCAACTGAGCCGCCTCTGAGAGAATCGTTTCTGGGTTCATAATCACAAGTCAAGGCCCAACAGCCCCAAATGAAAGAAGAAATGATGCAGTAGGCCTTGCAATATAAAACTATGGTAGATAAGAAAAAAATCAAAGTGATTCAGTGAGGGGTCGTAAAAGAATATGAAACTCTAGAACTGAGGATAGTTTGGAAACACTGAAAAGCTCAGCTTTAATCCCTTCCATGAGCTCTTTTCTGCTTTTCTAAATGTCTGCTCTTAACTCTCCAAACAAGCACCTTTCTCTTCCTAATGTCCAATTCACTCCTAAACTCCTAGCTGACTTCCCTCTCTATCCTTCTGTCTTCCCCTTAGTTTGCTGAATTACCATTCAGAAGCATGTATCATACACGGTTGTTCCACCATTTAAGGCCTTCCCTAGTTTGCCAAGACACTGTCCAAACCCCCAGTTAGGTGTCTGGGACCCTTAAGCATCCAGCCCAGTCTACCTCTGCAGCTGCAGTGCCACCTACAGCTAGTGCCATCTCCTGATCTCACCTACACAACATCCCCTCACACTCCTTGGATATACTTGTATCGCTACCAACTTTAGTAGAAACCCCCGATCACTAAATTCTAAAAGAAATACAATCTCCTGTATCATCTTAATTCTACCCTGCCTTCAACTTCGTCTTGGGAGAAATCAATCTCTGTCCCTCCTTTTCCTTCTAAACACTGTAAATACAGTAGCACATTAGTTTTTCTTTCCTTGTATTACACTTCCTTGCATTTATATATTTCCTCTTCAACACACAGAATTCCGTATACTAGGAGATAAGCTTTCATTCAGTTTCGTATTTCTTATACAAAGACATTATACAGTAGAAATCCAATCAATAAAATACATATTGGATTAAGTGTCTGAAATATTTTCCTTATTCACTGTAAACTCCACGTGTGATTCTATTTGATGTATAACTTCCTAGAAAGGACCTTATTTTAGTTACAGGAAGACTGTCCTCATAAAAACTCCCAGAAAAATATTAAACAAAGAATATAATGTTAGTCAACTCATTGATTCCTTGGACAATGATAGAAGCAGTGACATAAGCATCCAAAATGGGGAAGAAAACAATAATATACTAGTATATAATTTTACTATATAATGAAATATAGTTTATATAATAAAATATACATGATGTGTATCTTGACTATGCTTTGATACATTTGGATAATTATATTTAGCTATGTCTTATTCAAGTTAAGACAATAAATTTACATTAGGTGGCAATTAATATTTTGGGTGTGATTTCTTCCCTAAAGAAATGCCATCCTTTGGGACCACCTACCAGAGAATTAGCCCAACTTTCCCCAAAAATACACTCTGTGCGACAGTGTATCCTTCACTTGAGGATTTCCACACACACATTCGCTATACCTTAAACAAATTAATTACTTCCCTGCCTTTATGTCTTTGATCTTTCTCTTCATTTTGAACCATTCTTGCCAGGACTATAGAAATCCATTTATTCATGAGGATTTCCTGATGCTTTGTTTCTCTATTCTGGGAAGAGAAAGTAACATGGCAGACAGAGCTTCAAGTGAGTATCGTTCAATGCAGAAAGCACATCAGTACATAGAAAACACTATTTTATGTATAATATATATATATAATGCATTATATGTAATATTCCCAAAAGAGCAAAGAGACTAGACAGATGGCTTCCGAGTTGAAGAGACATGTGTCAGAGATACTTGGCCACCCAGGGCAGTAGGAAACCCAAGACCCCAAGCTAAGGAGAGGAAAGGGCCTCCTCCTGCTAGTGCAGGTGTTCATGTCTTCAAGATGGACGGCAAAGAACCAAAAACAGGGGAAAATACATTTTCTGTCTGTTTCCCTTTGTCTTCTGCCCCTCTGTGCTATAGCTTCCATACCCAACACTTCCCTTAGTTTGCCTAAGAGATATAGAACAGGTACATTACTGGGGAATATTTTTTTAAAAACAGAAAGCATATAACATATACTAAGATTCCTCCCATAAAATTGCTGTAATTTGTTTAACATTTACTGATTCACCATTCAGTGGCTACCATTTTTCCCATTTAAGGTTTTTTTTTGTTTTTTTTTTTTTACAGGCAGAGTGGATAGTGAGAGAGGGAGACAGAGAGAAAGGTCTTCCTTTGCCGTTGGTTCACCCTCCAATGGCCGCCGCGGCCGGCGCACCGCGCTGATCCGATGGCAGGAGCCAGGTACTTATCCTGGTCTCCCATGGGGTGCAGGGCCCAAGCACCTGGGCCATCCTCCACTGCCTTCCCAGGCCACAGCAGAGAGCTGGCCTGGAAGAGGGGCAACCGGGACAGAATCCGGCGCCCCAACCGGGACTAGAACCCAGTGTGTCGGCGCCGCTAGGTGGAGGATTAGCCTAGTGAGCCACGGCGCCGGCCCCATTTTTCCCCTTTAAACACCAAGAATAAACTGAAGATTTTGGTGTACAATTACCTCCCTCCCCAACAAAAAAAGAGTAGAAGACAATGATTAGATGAAAAGGAAAAAGATGGATTCATGAATTAAATTATGATAACTGGCTTTCTTTAAAAAATGTAAATACAAACACAAAAATTAAAAATGAACACCAGGTAAAAATAGCTCAGCTAGAGGCTTTACAAATTATAAGCAATCCATGTCCATTGGACAAGTTATTGCTCCAAACATAATCAATACATATTTAAGCATTTAATGAAAAATGAATTTATGTCACATAGTTAAATTTATTTATGTTTACATTTTTAGTGTTTCCAAATTTCTTAGGTTTAAAATTGCTAAAAGAACAGAAAAAAATCCCAAATTTATTCAAGCTGTTAAGAAAGAACTGCACATAAGACATTAAGTTGTTGCTCAAACGTTACCAAGCAGTAAAATACCATGATAAAGTGGCATCTTGCTGTGTCTCTGTTACATCTTCAGCACTAAAATTAATTTATGATCAGTCATCAATTCATTTACATGTCATTTATGCTAAATCCTTCCTTGCTGATAAATGCTTATCCTTAGATCCATTAAGCTTGAGTAAAGGCTGTGCTTTATAATATGACCCTGCTAATTGTTGCATTACCATTTTTATGAGATACAAAAACTAGCTGTCCCCCAATTTTTTCAGCCAATATTTAATCTAGGAACTCTTCCTATTAAATGCTATTTGTCTAACTATGTGTTAAATAACATCTTCAGCTATAAAAGTCTTTGGACAAATCAACCCAAATATCCACCTCTGTCTAGGTGTTGATAAACTTGGGAGGGTAGAGGGAGAAGAATCATGGTGTTTCTAAATTTGTTTATAAGAAATGCATGAAGTTTGTATGCCTTAAATTAAAAAAAAAGAAAAACTTGTCTAATCTACAGAACTATTCTGTCAAAAAAAATTAAATATACAAAAATTCTACCCACCTTTCTCAGACAGAACGGAATAGGCAGAGCAAAATATTAAGAAAAAAATTCTCTGACATATGACACCTCTTGACGTTTCATTCAGATGAAAACACACATAATATTCCTCTATTTGTGTGGTTCATTTTGAAGTGTATACTTAATTTTAATTTCTCCTTGAAGACATCATTGAGAGAGTCTCAAAAAAAGTATTTAATGATTTTTAGTATTATCCCTGAAACTTTCGTAAAGATTACAATGATTTTTCTGTTAATTTCTGCAGCAGGGGCAAAGCTTCAGGTCAAACCTTTTAGTGCACAGAGCTCAATCTAAAAGATGCATGATAAAGGCAGATGGTGTGGTTGCCAGGTTGTATTGTTTTCCGAATGATCTGGTGTGGGAGTTCCGGTGAAACCTCAGAACACATCAAGGAGAAAATGCAGGGCCGTGTTTTTCAGCTGTGGTGCTCACGTGCGGTCTGGCAGCCAGGGGAACTCTGATTCATTTCTCTTAACAGCAGTCACTCTCAGTCTGACCCTCTGTGAGCACTGAGGCAGGGAGGATCTTGGCCATGCGGCCCATGCACTGCTCCCGCCCTCTCTCCTCTGGCCTCTTGTTGCCTTCTTGCTGGTGGTGTCCTTAGGTGCCGCCAACACTTACCCTGGGCTCCCACCATGGAAGTTATAGCAAGAATGACTGCTTCTTCCCCCCGTTACCAAACGACTGTGGGCTTGACATTTAGGATGATATGACAAGCATGTTCCTAAAGACTCACACTATTCTGCAGGTAGACTTTCTGGTCCCAGAGTGTGATGTGTTGTAATAAAGACATTTTTTATAGTCTATTACAACCAAATCAGTGCCATTATGAGGGCAGCTTAAAAATAAAAATGATAAACATGAGATTCAATACAAAAAATGCTGACACAGTTGAATTTTGTTAGCATGGGTCACCACAATTGAATATAGAAGGAAATATGAAAAAATAAAGGTCACATCTAAAAATTAATACTTGTATCTTGATTAAGTTCAGAGTGGGTAAGGACTACTGTTTTCAGAATTCAAATTATAATGTTGTGTTCATAAAAACATCTACTTGTAGTTACATATATAGACTCATATACTGAGTCTATATATGTATATGGGACCAAAAGATTATTTTAATCTTAAATATGCTAATTCCAGGGACTGCAAGAAAGTTGGGCATTTCCAGAGCAGATGTCATGATAATTTATTGTTAGAGTAAGACTAATTGATTTTGATAATGCTTCTGCTACTTATCAGGTGGGTGACCTTGAAATAAGCTTTTAAACTGCTCTGTGACAAATTCCTTGATCTACAAAATGACATCAATCATACTGGTAGGATTGTGAGAATTACATCAGTTAGTTTAATGGTAAAACATTGGAACAAGATCAGAAAACTTTTCTATATGTGCCACTTGCTAATATTTTAGCCGTTGCCATCTCTATCATTTATTCTTTAAGCCTTTTAAAAAATGTAAAAAAGAAATGTAAAAAAAAAAACATCTTGGGGCTGGTGCTCTGACACAGTGGGTTAAGGCCCCAGCATCCCATATGGGTGCCGGTTTGAGTCCCAGCTACTCCACTTCCAATCCAGGTCCTTGCTAATCCTCCTGGTAAAGCAGCTGAAGATGGCCCAAGTCCTTGGGCTCCTGCACCCACTTGGAAGGCCCAGAGGAAGCTCCTGTTTCCTGGCTTTGGATTGGCTCACCTCTGGTTGTTGTGACAATTTAGGAAGAAAAACCAACAGATGGAAGATTCTCTCTCTCACTCTGTCTTTCAAATAAATGAAATACATCTTAAAAAAAAAAAAAAACACGCAAAAGCTAAGTGGAATAGTGCCTCGTTGGTTGTCCATTTCATTCAGTACTATTGAACTAGCCTTACATGTCAGAAGAAAACAGAAGCGCATTAGAACAGTCATCACCATGTTCATTTCTATGCCATCCAGTCCATAAAAATCTACCCTTAGGGCTGTTGCCATGCAAAGGTACATGTGCCTATACTTGCACAAAACAGATACACACACACATACTCCTACACTTTCACAACCCCTGCACTCTCTCACACAAACACCTAAATATACTCACTCACTCTCTACAATCGCACACACACACATGCACAACTACACTGTCAATCTTTTACATTCTGTCTAATACTTACAAACACATTCATTCTATCTACACACACACATACCTGCTCCTTACCTATACTCACCTACCCTAACTACTCACACACACCTATAAACACTCAGTCCCTTTATATACTCACAACCCTATCTATCCTGACACACATTAAACCCACACTCATAATCCTACAGACAAGCACACATACTTGTAATACACCTATACACCCTGCACACACCTTAGGTGTACTCACACTCCCTGTTTACATACACAACCTCTCCATACACTCACAACCTGTCTACACTCACACCTTTATATACACTACACACACAATACCCCTACACTCATAGTCCCCATGTACATATGCACATTTACATATACAGGAGAAAGCAAATTATATATCTGATCACATACTCTCACTAAGCTATTGATGCATGGAAAGAAAGAAAGAGATTTCTATTTGACTACTTTCGTGTAGACTGCAACTCTTCGACTAAGGAGATGTATTATTCATTGCATAAAATCATTGTGTAATACATACCTAAACATGGAGGTTTTATATATGGCAGTAATTAAGCAATGAATTCAAGTAGGAAAACAGACTTTGCTTTCTTAGCAATAAAAATCTTCATTGGAATGAACATGACCCCAGTTACAGGAGAAATGCAGATTACACAGCCTAACATGTTACTAACAGGTGAACATGCAAATACGCAAGATGGCAAATCTCCTAATTTATAGATCCATTTATAATCTTTGACAATATAATATTTAATAAAAGAACTACATAAGCTATCACTATTCTTCACTGCATTCCTAATGGAAAAGAGTTCAGTACCATTAGTGAAATATGCAAAAATATGCAGAATTTTACCCTGAAGGAGATTATGCTAGAAATTGAAGCAAAAGGGACTTAATATAGCAGAGCACTAATAAGTCAGCTCTCTGCTTTCAAAGATTTTAACTTTTGCTCCATCACCATTAGATGGATCTGGGTTTCAAACCATACCAGTATACCTGTAGTTTTTAAATCTTAATTAGTATGACAAATAGACCAGCCTCCAGGGAAAGGTGAGAAACTGAAATATGCATTTCCACATCACACATTGGGTAATTCAGGAAGGAATGCAGAGATGATGTTAGGGGCTGATGCTGCTTTATCATTATCTCAGAGCAGTGTGCATCACTATTTGCAGAATTCTAACATGTAGTGCAAAATCAGTGGACGCTCAGAAGCTGTCAGTCCAGAAACAACTTAAATGAGACCGTGATAAAGCACATCCTCCACCAGACACGTGGACATGGTGGTTTTCAGAGAAGATGCAGTGAAATACAAAGGTTAGACCTCAGTTTTAGTAGCTATGTCTTCACAGTCATGTAAGAGGCACTTTTTCTACATCAAGGAATGGATATCTAATTGAACAGAGAGACCCCAATTTTCACTTTTCTTCACCGTGCACACATTAGGGCTTTACATTTTCTTACCAAATTTGATCAATTTGAACAACTGGAAACAGGATATGCTGCCCATGGTGGGCTGATTACTGGTAAAGTACCAACTGAAGTCTATTACTTGGTGAAGAAGGCAAGAGGAAATCAGAGGAGTCCACAGTAAAAATAACTGTTTCTTGGAGAAGAGCAGTGATTGCATTCAGCAATAAATATATGGATTATCTTGCTACACATTTTCTCTACTCCAAAAATAAAAATAAAAGCTTGTGCAACCTTACAGAGGCTTACTCTGAAGACTTGCTTATTTTCATCAGTGAATGACTTTACAGAAGGAATATCAAGGAGTGTTTTAAGATTGCATTGACTCTATATGTTGCTCCTGATACACAAAATATATCATTTCTAAAAGTCAAGGTTTTTTTTTTTTATGTAATAGACTTAGTTCCCCAGTAGAGTGAACTTTTCATGAAAGCCCTGGATATAATTGAGTTTTCTTTCATGTCTTTAAAGCTTGTTAAAATTCATGAATTTTCTTATCATTTTTGAGGCAAAGCAAAGTATTTCCAAATCCTTTTTGAATTTTCTGTTAAACATTAACATATTTAAAATGTTACAGAAATAGATGGAGTGCAATAAATCTTCCATAAGAAAGTATTTGATATTCGATGCATTTTAATGTTGCAAATAGGTCAGTTATTTGTATTAAATCTCTTCCGTTACCTGCCAGAGAGCTGTCTAGATTGTCCATACTGGATCCCGGTGTCTGGTCTAGTGCTCTCAGGGGCCTGGGGGTTTCCAAAGCTTCCTCTTCATCGTCAGCATCATCATCTGCAACATCTGTTTCCAAGTCCGAAATCAAGGCTCCAGACACATAACCTAATGGTGGTACTGGTGGCTGTGGCGGTTGATTATTGCTTTGAATGTGCCTAGGAGCCAAGGAGAGCAATTCATTAACATTCAGCAAGACTAATTAGAATTCAATGGTATGCTATAGGGACTAACACTGTCTTCTACCTCTCCACTGACTAAGTTCGAAACTTGCCACACTTTCTTACACAATGGGCTATGAACACCTGCCTCACCAAACAACAGCCCTGGCACAGACTGGCAAATGCTTCTATTGGTGATCTATAGATGAAAAAATACAGAACCATTATTTTTGTATAAATAACAGTTCTTCCATGATGTTTTCATGCAACATGGATGGAGAGGCACTTCCAAACAAGAAGGGCCAGGTCTTGTGTGAGCCCATGGAGGCTCCAAACTCCCACATGTGGAGTCAGTTGGGGCATTCTGGAAGATTGCTGGGTTGAGTAGTATCATACCTGATGTATGGGTATTCACAGTAGGTGAAGAACTAGTTTGTTCATCTATTTAACAAGCATCCATCATACAGTTACTAAATAAGATACTGCTAAGTGTTGAAAGGTGGGTAGCACTGGACAACTCAAGTGAGCACCCAAGCCTTTCTGAAAAGTAACAGCTAGAAGATAGTCAGGCATTTTATTAAGTTCTATACAACCACACGCTCATTTAGTTCTTACAAAAACTATGATCCTAAGTAAGAATTTATCCTTGACTCAAGAGAGGCTAGCCTTTGCCATGTACTTCTGGGAAGTAATCTCTAAGCCTTTGGAATGGTTGACAACAGTGTCTCTGTTTGTCTGGAGGATTGGCTGAGTATACTCCAGAAAGTCAAACTTTTTTTTTTTTATTTTGGGGGCTTTGATTCACATGGTATTGCCTGTGAGGTGGCTAAAGATTGAGGTCAGCCATGTTGGTAGACAATATAATCTATGCGACAGAGCCCAAATGAAGTCTCTGGACCTTGGAGCACAGATGCAATGCTCTGAGCATATGTCATGCTCTTTACCAAGAAGGTAAACTTGTCCATGACCCCCACTGAGAGAAGACACCTGGAAGTCCTACTTTTGGACTTTCCCTGGCCTATTCTTCATACTTGTCTTCTCTTGAATGGTTTTAATCTACCTGCTTTTACTGCAAAAAGCTGTAACTCGTACCCTTACAGCTTTTGGTTACTTACAAGACTTCTAGTGAATTCTTGAAACTTAGGGTAGGATTAGAGACCTCTAACTTGTACTTGGTGCCACAAGGTGCTTAATCTTGGGGACTGTCCTCTAACTGCACATAAGAAATAACTTAGCATTGTCACCATCATTTTACAAATGGGGAAACTACTGCATATAAATGTTAAACAAGCTACCCAAGATCAGATAGCAAGTAAGACCAGGTTTACTTCCATGGCTATCCTTAGTCAAGAATCTGAGGGTGGCCTGAGTATCACGCTGTTTTAGGATTATTCACCTGACTGCAAAATGCAGCCAAATTTAAGAACCCATGAGATAGAATTTGTGCTTTAAATGAATACAATGTAGAACTCCATCAATGGACTCAAAGGGGATTCTATGGCTCTTTAAGTAGCTGACTTCCACTAAAAATAGTGATGTTTTATAACATGAAGCTTGATGCAAAACAATCCTTTTTAACAGTAGGTCGTCTCTGGCCTTTTAGAAAAAAAATCTGATGACTGTTCAGGAAAATTTTTAAGAACTTCTAATCTGTCCCTTTCTGAAAATAAACCCCAGACTATTTGTAACAAGCTGTAAGTGATATTCCTGGTCTAGGGATCTTTGTATGTATAGTTAGCTTTATCTAAAACTGATAGATTGCTTTTGAACTAAAACTATTATTTTAAAAATAAAATTTTAAAATAGGTCATTAACACCAAAAATAAGAATCATCTCATTATCAACTCATATAAACATATATCTCATTATTTCATTCTCTTATTAACTCATATATATATATATATTTCTCTATGTATATATAGCAAATACTATTTTTTAGAAAATATACTCTGATTTAAGCACAAAGTATTAATCAAAAGAAGATTACTGGAGATATGTCACTGAAATTTCACTTTTAAGTCTAGACTCTCATATATCATTATTTGGGAAAAGAAAATAAATAAGGGAAAAAACTTACGATAAGAGGAAAGTTGTATAAAATCATGAGAATTGATCTCATTTGCCTATCTGCATTTTCTCTGAATTGTTAAGTATAGTGCCTTCTATAGTTTATGAAATTTTATGGAATTATTTTAAAAAGGAATTTGGGGTTTTTTAACTTGTTTATTTTTGGAGGGCTTTACATTTATTTGTACTAATATTGTTTCTATTTCTGCCTCATGTATTTCAACTGAAAGAGGATCTCTAATCTATCTATTCTCTTCCCATTTTTATTAATATATAAAGAGAACAGAACTCATGCTTGCATAGGTACAGTTCTAAGAAGATTCCCTCACTTCCCTCCTTTGTCTTTTTCTCCTCCACTCCCCTCTCCACACTCCCCTCTCTTTCTTTCATCAGTTTTTGCAAAGACATAATGTTAATCCACTCTATATTCACAGGCTTAAATCACTACTAACCATAATATTCGACAAGTAAAAAGCAGGAAGACCGCAGTCCACAGGAGTATACACAAGGGCTAAAAATACGAATCGCATCACAAAATGTCCGTTTCATTCCTACACATACTGACACTGACCATAAGTGATTTGCAGAGGCTACATTTACATATTCATAACCACATACAGAATTAATCACAGGCACTTTGAAGAATCTAAAGAGAGTCCTTTATTATAGCTTTGGAAGTAAGTTCAAGGCTAAGCTAATTGAAGCTAAACTGTAAATTAGAAAAGATTTTGGTATAGCCAAAAGCACTTTATCCTTGATATTCAGATCTGAATTCTTGCTATGTATCACTCTAACTAGTTATAAAACTTTGGTCAAATTATTTAACATCTCTGTACTCAATTTCTTTATCTAAATGATTAAAGAGTCACACAAAAGTATTTTTAGCCCCAGGTGTATAGTTCCATAGAATCTCTTCTATATTTACATGAAGACTTGCTTCTCTTAATGAGAATAATTACCATGTTTGCTTTGCTAGGTCAAACTGATAGGCCCTCGTCAACTCGTCCAGGTGAGCCTGCAGCATGGGCTGCATCTCCTCCCGCGGGGATGGAGTGAGTGTTGCAGTAGACTGCTGTCCAAAGGAGATGGCAGGAGAGGAGGCCACACCTCGGACAGGAGGGGTTGGGACTCGGTCATCATCTTCTTCCAGTTCATCTTCCATACCCTGGTGCAAGTATGTTTGCACTGGTAATGGTGGGCACCAGCTATCGCTGTCATAGCTGGAAATTAAAGGAGGAAAAATATACATTGATATACATGTACACGTATGCCCGCACACGCATACACAATTACACTGGCAGGAAACAGTAACAATATATGTAGTATCTAAAACATTTCCTAACTTTATTTCCTCCTAATCAAATTGTTGGTGCTATCATGGTAAATCACCTGGCTGTTATCTTAATTTCTAATCGTAATTACATCTGTTATCTCAGTATACCATTTAGTCTTAAAAGATCTTCTTAGCTAATTGTTACCCCACAGTTACAAAAGGCAATAACTTCCCAAGGAAGTTGCCCATGTAGAAAAACCAAATTGCTAATTAAAGAAAATTAATGAATTTAGTGCATAGAGATGTTATTACTTCCTCCTGTTGTTCATCCCTGTGCTTCAAATGGATAGACTAAGGAAATGTTGGAGCATTTTCTTTATTATTTTTTGAGATCCATGACAACTATTCCAAATGATATGCCACTAAGACTTCGTTATAAAAATAGATTCAGTATTCCTTTGATTCTCTTAATATTCTTAGTAGAAACTAATGTCTGCCTTTAGATTGACATTTGATTTCAATTCAGAAAACAGAAGTTGAAAATCTTTCCCTAAAAAAAAATCTTGTTACTGTAGTAGAACATCTTTAAAACAAACACCGTCTGGTCCAAAATGCAGAAAATTAATTCAACTAAACTTGTATACCCATTAACTGATTTTACAGAAGAGTACTAATCACAATTGCGCAAAATATATATTGATGTAAAATGATGTCATTTTTATCTGTTTCAAGTGTTGGAAATCACAGATTTAATTTTTTAAAGATTTACTTTAAAGAGTACTTTGAAAGAGAGTTATGGTGTGGAGGAGTGTGGGGAAGAGAAAGAGACAGACAGACAGACAGACATCCTTTATTCTCTGGTTCATTCCCCAAATGGCTGCAACAATCAGGGCTGGACCAGGCAGAACAAAGAGCCAGGAGCTTCTTCCAGGTCTCCCACAAAGTGGGAGGGGCCTAAGTGCTTGGCCCATTTTTGCTGCTTTTTCAGGTACATTAGCAGGGAGCTGGATTGGCAGTGGAGCAGCCAGGACTTCAGTTGGTGCCCATTTGGGATGCTGGCGACACAGGCAGCGGCTTTACTGGCAATGCCACAACACTGGCCCCAGATTAAATTTTAAAAAAGAACTCTATGACCTAGAATGCTTGTAATTGACTGTCCTGGTTGGATGTACCACTTTTAGTTTCTCCCCATATTCTCAATCTTGCCTACCACTCAATAATTTGTCTGTGAAAATGCTTGAATGACCTCAATAAAACATTTACTTTCTTCTATCTGTTCTGTGCATTAAATATAGCTAAGCTGACACCACTTCGGATAGTTTTTTTTAAGACTTATTTATTTATTTGAAGTCAGAGCTACACAGAGAGAGGAGAGACAGAGACAGAGACAAATGGCTGCAATGGCCGGAGCTGCATCAATCTGAAGCCAGGAGCCAAGAGATTCCTCCGGGTCTCCCATGCAAGTGCAGGGGCCCAAGGACTTGGGCCATCTTCTACTGCTTTCCCAGGCCATAGCAGAGAGCTGGATCGGAAGTAGAGCAGCCAGGTCTTTAACCGGTGCCCATATGGGATGTCGGCTCTTCAGGCCAGGGCTGTAACCCACTGCTCCAGAGCACCAGCCCCCAGATAGTTTTTATAAATTATCAAAATGAATTTCCTGCTCAAAATACTTAGTTTCTTTTCATTTGTTCTTTTCAATCTGGGTGCATTCAACTACAGAATTCAACTTATTTCAAATAAGCTATTCTCCAATTTTACCTATCTTAATCGTCAAAGTCCTCCTAGCTAAAGGCAACAATCTCTTATCTTTTATAAAAATTTCCTGATGAGACCAACCAGTGCTGATAGATTACCCTCCTGAACGTCTATGACAATAGTTTTGCACATTTATTTGGAAGTTGATTGCATATAGTCTTATGCTATTTTGGATACTGGATCCCTTAACTGTTGTCTGGTTTATCTTAGTGTTTAACTTCTTACATGGTCTTGGTGTCTTTTGCACAAATGGATTTAACTATACTACAGTTAAGGTACTGTATTTGTCCTATTTTGCAGTGACTAATACTTTAAAAATCATAGGTCATACGCATATGTACGGATTGGAGATGAAGAATGCATAGCTTTCTTTCCTTAGTTTACTTATTTGGCTTTAAATGTCATGTAATTAAATCACACAGAAAAGGTGTCTAAAAAGAACTGCTTATTTCCAATATGGAATGGGCTTGCCATTATACTTCATCAATAGTTACAATTAAATTTACTCTGTAAAACTTGTTACAAAAGAGCACTTTTTTGTGTGCCAGAAATTTTATAGGTACACTTTCCTTACTTACACTGGCTTCTTGCCAAGGATATTACACCTTTGAATAAAGAAAGCACATGTTTATAGATTCAATCTTTCCTATGCAAACAGCCAGTTATCTCTTAAAACTTCCCTACTCCATAAGTACTAAACTAATTTTATTTCTAATAATTTAATAGAGATATACATTGGGAATGAAAATGCATAGAGGATATAAGAGAAAAAATAGACGTTGCATGCATCACATATGAAGGTAGCACAGACAACATGGAATTACTTAAACTTGATTCAGTTTTTGTTCTTCAAATAATTTCAGGCAAAGGAGAGTGTCAATATAATCATTGCTATTGACATCACTCAGACACATTGCATAATATATTAATTGCCTAAAGCTAATTTTCTTAGCTATTCCACTAAACAACAAAGGATGTTATCACCAATTGTCCCATATTTTTTATTTGCAAGACAATCTAGAACAGGAGTAGGAAAACTGTATTCCTATGGGGTAAAACTGAGAAAGATCTGTGGATTTATCTAAGTGGTTGGTGCCAAAACAGGAGAAATGGAGAGAGATAAAAACCAAAGCACTAGGAGAGGTATATAAAGGAACAGAAGTGAAATTAGGATATGGTGCCTAGCAGATGATGAGAAGAATCATTCAACATATCTGGTATCCACATCTTCCTTCATTCCAAGGAAACAGATACTTAGGCTTCATGCAAATACTGCAGAAGGATGAGAAAGTCACAGAAGAGGTTAAATGTGATGAAAAACCGTAGTTCTGTGTTCACGGATTCTTTCATAGTTTCCTATTTACATCTTATTTGAGTGATAGAATTTCAGCTTTTCTTACAGCAACATAAAAAAGACTATGAAAATGTTGCTAATTCCCAAGCAAAGGTCTTTTGGCCAACCTTTCCTAGAGAAGCTTTTGTTCTTTGACATTGCCAGTGAAGCGAGAGACATCATATTATCTGCCAAGCCTGGCAAATAAGGATAAAAATGACAACAAATCAATGCTGCGTCTGAACTAACTTGTTAAAGGCCAGACACAAATACCAAATTACTAATAAAAATACAATAAAGTTCAACACCCACAAAAGCTGGCCCAGCTCTAAGTATAGTAACAAGGCAAAGAGGCCGTTTTCCACTTAATTAGTATTGAATTCTTCCTAGCATCGTATGACTATAATAAAATGCGTGATATTAACTAGACACTAATGTATTTTGGCACATTTTCGTCAGACTGAGAGACCTATGGATGATAAAAAAAATTTATCATCATGGCTATATTACTGAATTAACAATTAAATATTTTTTGGACAATAATTTGCAATTTTGAGTTGTTGGAGGCAAACGTGGACTAAGAAAGGCTCAGAAAAAAAATACTGAAGATTTTAGAAACAATCCTAAACATAATAACAAAAAACTAGCCACAATTCTTTGAAGATGATCATTATTCTCATTTCAGGGTATCTCCTAAATCTGGCCTTTTCCCTCTTTCCTGCAATCATTAGCACAGTCTACACTCAACATTTTCATGGTACTGGTTATTTTGCTGCAATATTCCACCTGCACTGAAGCTCAGCTCCTACAATCTATCATCTGCATTCAAAGATCAGAATCCTTCAATGACATACATGGTTTCAGAGCTGGCCTGAAGACACCTTCTTCCATTATCTCCTAACTTGTGCAGGGTTCAAACTCAACAAAGCTCATAAAGAAGCTACCAATTGCTGAAGGAAACAAATAAATCAAATATAATGTGTTAAATACTACAAGATGAGGAGTTAAGTTTAAGAAATAATGAAAAAGAAAGCAAAGATAAATAACCTTGACTAGAATAGGGTAGGGTTTTGGAGGGAAGAGGAATACACTATTTGTTATTCCCTATTTTCTCATCTTTTATTGTATTTTTTTTTTTTGTCTTTGGTCAGGGAATGTTCTATTTGCATAGAAAAGGTGACATTAGTAACGTTTCATTTTAGTTGTTGGTTGTTGCAATCAATTCTACTGCAACTATTGGTTGTTATCCTTGCCCTTAGTTTTCAATCAGTGCTTTGCATCGTAAGTCACCCAACTATGGGTTCAATATTTTGTGACTAAACAAATCAAGACTCACCTCAAAAATCAACTTCTAGGAATTTTACCCTGGCTTTCCTAGAAATTGCAGTTGCCTCTTTTTGTTGTCAATTTATTATTTTGTATACATTGCTCATGCAGGCCTTATGCAACAGTGTGTGTGTGTGTGTGTGCCTACGCATGTGTGAGTGTACAACAGTGCATGTGTGTGCAGTTTGTCTCCTGTCTTGCTCTGCCTCCCTTTCCTGTGGGCTGCTTGGGTAAGGGATCACTTACTATGTTGAGTATTCACCCCTGTGCTTTCTGCTTATTCTTTTCCTAACATTGGGCATAACACTTCCTATGTTTTTGGAAAGAAAATTGCTTAAGTTCTCTTTAGGATATGTTAAAAAAAAACACATAAAAATTGTATGTCACCATAGGAAGAACAACTGTAGAATCCTTTATTGTCACAAATGAAAAATTATTGAAAATAAACTGCCTAAAGTTTTTGCATTCCTTATACTGAGAAACTGTTAAGCTTAAATTGTGCAGTTTTCAAAATAAAGCATATAAAAATTCTATAAAAGATCTCTTTGTAAAATACTTCATGATAACATCATGAATAGCAAAGTATAATCTAAGATCAATAATCTTGCCTTTTCTTTTCATAATAGATAATGAGAAAAATATATAAATAATATATCAAGAAATAGACTAAACTCTTTCCAAATCTACTTATTTGTTCTTGCCATATTGACTTTAAACGTGTTTTTATTATGAACAAAGTAAGATCTTACAAGTGTTAGTCTTTATAATTGGACACTGAAGTATAAGAAACTGAATTTTTCTTTCAGTAGACAGGTTAAATGACAACTGAGCATGGTTTTTGGTAAGAATGATATGTCTTTTCAGCAAATACTAGGTATATAGGCAAATAAGAACTGAAAGGTAAGTAAGAAATCAACTATTCACAAAACACTATGAATATGTGAGTATATGTGTATGTACATATACATATATATAAATGTACATATAAACAGATGAGTTCCATATGACCTTAATCTGACTTCTCCTATTAATATCTCAAATTAGTGTCTGCAACAATGAATAAACTATATCCAGTTTTCCCTATTTTTATCCATTTTCAAGAAATCTTTAGAAACAAAAATTTTCTAACATCATTCATTATGACAATATTAAAATAATTTATAATTCTCTCACAATGAGAAATAATTTTATCTTTTAAATACTAAAAATTCTTTGTGTCAAAAAATAAAAATTTACCAACATTATCATTTCACTTATTAATACTTCCAGTTGTACTGCTGAGTAATGAAATCACCTGAGAAGTATGCATTTATTTTAATTAGATTAGTTTTATTTCAGTGGGTGATGGGCATTATTATAGTCTCTATGTTTTTGTCAGTAGACAAAGAAATGATTCCCAATTACCCACAATTTTCATGTGATCTGAGTTCAAGGCTTTATGGTTATAAGGATTTAACAAGCACTACTTTCTCTTCACTCTTTTCAAGTTCCATTTCCCCATTTTCTGACTATACCTTTAAAATTCAGATTTCTAAACCTGTATTAACATTTCCTTGTGGAATACACTTCTCTGGTCTTTCTTTTCTCAGGATTCATGTGACACACATTTATACCTTTGCTATAAAATGAGATCATGATATAAAGGAACAGCCTTTAGAGAGTTTTATTTTTTTTTAAACTCAGAGAAACAGGGTATGCTCTTGGTTTCCTATTCCAAGCATTTTGTTTATGTTAAAATAACAATCATTTGCATATTTATGGGTATTATAATCCCAGCCTAAAAGAATGAAGTCCATATGGGGGATAGAAAGACATTGACAAAAAAAATCTGTGTGTATGTGTGTGTTTACCTATACTTGCATGTATTTTTATATCTATATAATACATATTACATATATGATATATGAGGGTACTTTTAAAAGTTTGTGGAAAAATTGAATTAAAAGATAAGTTTAATTTGGTTTCAAAATATTTTAGAAATCTATGCATAGTTTTTTTAATACCCACTTTCCAGGGAACTTCGGAAGACCTCATGTAGGCATGGATTCCACAATTGTCTTCAATCCAAACAAACTTGTCTTAATTTCATTTCCCATGAACTTTCTGAAGTACCCTCGTGTGTGAGTGTGTGTGTGTGTGTGTGTGTGTGCATAACCTATCAAGATGAAAACACAAATGACATCTTTGGAAGGAAGCAAATAGAGAGTTGCAGTTAGGAAAATGAATCTGGACACCTCAAATATACAGAACAAAGAGAATAGGGAGAAAAAAATTTAGCCTGTACATGTTGTCTTTATTTCTATTGAGAAAGAACAAAAAACATTATCCATTTAAACGGAAATATTTTAATATCCAAATAGTTCTTAATAAAGAAAACCTATGAGAGAAAACTGCCTTTATTCTGTATTTCAGAGTTCAATAAAGGCTTAGTCAAAATAAAGTGACCTGGAAAATATAAGAAAGAGATTTAGAATTATTAAAATAGAAAAATACATTGAGCATGTTTCTTTCCATTTTCTTTTGTTGCTGTTGTCTTGGAAATAAAAAAAAATCATGTCTTGTGTTTAAAATCAATTAACACTTAAATTTTATAGCAGACAACACACTAACTCTTGAGAGATGTTTGGGAAAGAATAAGGAAACTGGTCACATTTAAAGGCCCTCAAAGGGAATTTTCTCACTTAAAAAGGTTTTGTTATAGGGTGTACATTGGCTTAAACCTCTTTGATTGTTCTGGCCCCTAAATTCCCATCAGAGCTGATGATTAAAGTTCTACCCACTGGCCAGGTCCCTACAATTATCCCATTGTGACAGCCCTCTACAGCGGCGCCCTGCTATGGCCAGGCATCAAGTCATTAGGGAACGGCACAAGATGATGAAGCAGGTTATTTTAATTCCCTTTTCAGCATCTCAGGAGTGGCTCTTTAGTTCACAGAGCTGTGGGTACTTGCTTTCAAACTAACAAGCAATATTATAAATGGAAGCTGCATTATCATGATTGCAGGCAACCTCAGGCACTTGAAGGCCAAGGATGCTCAGTCCTCAATACGTGCTGTTTTTGTATTTATCAGCTAAAACACAGAAAGACCATGCCAATACGAAAGGAGAGAAAAATGCAGCGAACGGGGTGGGAAGAAAGCAAAGAAACAGTAACTGAACACAGTGCAAAAATGAATGAGAAAGAGGTATGCGGCCTTGGCCATTTTGTTGGTATGTTGGTATGAATATGCTTACCCATTTTCTTGCTGTTCTACCGCATAGTGTTCTAGTTCTGTGCCAGGAAGGGGCTGAACTGGGGGAGGAGGTAGAGGCACATTGGCCCAGGCAGATCCATTGTTTTTCTGTGGTTTAGAAGAGTTTTTATTTTTCTTCTTTTTCCCACCTTTTCCACCTGAAAGTAAGAGTGCATTTACTCGGAGATGCCAACAATCAGAAGAAACAGAGTAAATCAGATGGGAAGATGTATTTATGTTTTCCCAACACCAGAATCAGTGTGTTCGAGTTGGTAAAAGCTATAAACAATGAAATGATATAATCAGAAGAACATTTTTATAAATCACTCAAATTGATATTGTTTCTTTCTCGCTGCATTAACTGCAGGCCTGAATAAACCAAAAATATGGCTGCTGAATCAAAAGCACATTTATTGATTTATTCGTGTCTGCTGTCTCCACGTTTTCATTGTTAGACGAAATAATGGTCCATAACAAATTCTTTTAAATGTCAGATTTTAGTGCGTTTATAATGCTCTTTTGCATAATCTCTCTCAGTGGAAAATGCAGTGTCTAAGGATACAGCCTAAACTGTTCCATTAGAATTTACTCAATTTAATTAATCCAAGAGAGTAACATTTTTCTCTCAAAAGTCACTGATAAAAATCAATCAACAACAATCTTGAGAATACCTGCAAATATTTCACAATGATATTTTTCTTAGACTTGTGAACTAATGAGTGGCACAATTATCTTGGCATATAGTCAGTACAGTTCCCAGCTCTTTTTAGCATAACATTTTGTAAAATTCCAAAAAGGAGGAAAGTTAATGGAAATACAATAATTAGTCTCAGTACTACTTGTAATACAAATGAATCCATGCGCAAAGCATTAGCAGAAATTAAGTCAGCAGTCTGTAAGCCATATCTGGGGCAAACATGGAACTTAATGAAATATAAAAATAAAATTGATCCTTTATGCAGCTTTGAATATTTTACTCTTCCAAAATTAAGCAGATGATACTTCTTCATAAAAAGGGGTTAACAGGAATGAGTACTTCTTGAATGAACCTAAGTGACTTCTGCCACTTCCAACATGGACTATAGCTGTCTCTGCCCAAACCATCGTACTGGCCCCTTGTTCTTCATCTTTCTGGAACTAAAAGCTGTGAGCGGAAGATACTTGTAGCAAGCCTTTCAAGTCATATAAATATCAATGCGTTCCACTCATCCCTTCTTTCTACTATCACTAATCTGCATTAGGCAAATCAAAAGATTAGATAATTTACAACTAGTATATTTGAGTGTTAGAAGTGACAAAAATTGTTAAACGAGACATGTACAGCATGGCCCATAATGGAACTGTTATGCTTTCTCTAGAGCATGCACAAATTCATACATATTACAAGAGCATCCCTGCAAACCCACTGCTTTCACCTTTCCTCTCACTGCTTATCTTTGGGAAAAGGAAAGTTATAAAAAGGCAGGACAGGAGATATCTTCTGCATAGGTTAGGGCTTGATCTTTGGGTATGAAGACTAGCTCCCCTTTTGGCAAGTGGCTCAACAAAAATCCCCTCAATTTCTATACGTGTAAGATATCAAATTAATGCTTCCTTGAGTTAGTGAGGGAATTTTAAGAAATAATGCTTAGGTGTTCGCGATGTACAGAATGCTCAGTAAATGCCAATCATTGTTGTTCTTGCCTGCCGCTTTTATCTTAGAGCAAACCCAGCTTCTGTAGTTTTCACAGTCTTTCTCCATTCCCAACTTCTTCTCTATGCCTAGTGAGTATTCCAGAGATGGTGTGACTGTCAGAATAACAAATTTGATTGAACTGAATTCAAGTCTGTGACTTTTCTTTCAAGTAGATGAAACTAAATCCTTTGTTTCCTAATGACTCACCAAACATCATAAACAAGGACTGTCTGAGTTTCTTCTCCTACAGCATCAGAATAACCTATTTCTGCTTTCTTAGTTGTACCTTCTTTGTTTCTTGTATATTTACATGTGTATAAGTCTTTACACTCATCATAACTCTTTTAGAAATGTGATCACCACCAGAGTTGAGTGACAGAAACTGGAAAGCTCTTAGATCTCCATTTTATAGATGAGGTACTGAGGTTCTTTCTGTGTCTTCTGTGGTGCATATTCATCCAGTGGGAGAGAGAACTCGGAATTGAGAATGCAGTGCCTTTACTGAAAATTACTTTTTCTAGAGCTCTCAGTGAAAACCTTCCCTAAGTCCAAGAAATAGATTCATGATCAACTCTTCCAATTAACATTCTGAAAAATGTATTTTCAAAACAGAGCTGATTCACACAGGGAATCTGTAAGGGTTTTCCATTCAACAGCCATTTTTCCCTCTTTCATTGACATTTCTGTTCTCTCATTGTGGGCACTCAGGGTAGGATTATCATAGCATAAAAATTGCTAGTACACTGAGTATCAAACAATTGTAGGACTTTTTATAAACAAATTACAATATAAAATATATAAGGTCATTCAAAAGTTTCCCTAAATCATTAAGCTAGTTTAATCAACCTATATGTCTCCTCTAAGCCATGAGCTAAGTGATGGGCTCTTAGCATGATGGAAAACAGGAGACACAATCTAAGGCAACTCAACTCTGTATTAGAGAACTACAAATTAAGTGAAATCACCACAGTCCGATGTTGCCAGTTGCAACCAAAGAGAGAACTGCCTCTAATATGTTTTTTTAATATTTTAACTGACACATAAAAATTGTAGATATTTATGGGGCACCATGTAATGTTTCATACATGTATGCCTTGTGTAATGCCCAAATCAGAGGAATCGTATCTATTTCCTCAAACATTTTTCACTTATTTATAGGGAAAACACTCAAAATCCTTTCTTCTAGGCTTTATTTAAAAAATGTACTATTGTCACTATAATTACACATTATGCAAGAGAACACCAGAACTTCTTTCTACTATCTAACTTATTAGCCATTCATCAGCCCTTACCTCCCTTCCCCATGTATTTTGATGACTTGAAAACATACTTGACTCCTTTCTTTTCAGCTCAAAATGGAAATATTTGGATCTTGTTTAAATCTAGCAAATCACTTCCAATTAAAGAAAATTAGGAAAAATTTGCTTGAATATTTAACATATAGTCTACTATTGAAAAGCACTGGTATATTAAGATACAGTCATTGTTATCAGATTTGTTATCTAGCTATATAATATTTACAGATAAAATTATCATTGTAGATACCATTTTGAAACAAGTTTTATTTTATATGTTTTAGTGGTTGGATTTGTAGGATTTATAACAGACGTGCATAGAACCTATATAATGAATAAATCATAAAAGCAATTCAAAGAAGTTGAAAAATGCAAACAATTCCTAAGCATCCTATTTATCATTGTGATTAAGTGAAATTGATTACATTGATATACTAAATTAAGAAAATCTGTAACACTATATAATTAGTTATCCATAGGGCAGTTGTATCTTAAGTTTGAGCCACAAGAAGCATATTTTTGATTGTAAGAATAAAACAAAAGCTCCGCAATTATAAACTCTATTGGGTCATATTAAAAAGGGAGTAATCACTTCACTCTCATGGATTGAAGAATGATTTCTATCACCAACTTAAGTAATTTTTATTCAAATGTAGATGAACTAGTTAATATAATGCATGTATATATGTCACTCAGGAGATTAATAGATTCAAAAAGCAGCAACTGCTATTGTGAGCAATGTTCTATTCACAATTACTCAAAAATAACTTTTAAAATGGCGTGTCAATCAACACATATTTAATGACAGATTCACAGGTCTTCTGTAAACCATTGATTATAGCATATAGATTTTTTATATATTCTTGAGACTTTACGTATCTTTAATGAAATAAGAAGGAAGTCAAGGACAAATTAGTTTTTAATTATTCAGAAAAATCATGGGAGTTATTACAAATAAATGGCAGTAAAATTGACATATAAGGTCATTAAAAAAAGTTCCCTATATGATAAAGCCAGATTAAATTCATAACAAGTGTTTAAAGTTTCCTGGATTCTATAATGTATCCCTACCAATAGGCAAGGAGAGTGACTGACTCATTTTGAAGGGAAGACAGAGCATTAACATTTCAGTCTTAGAGGGTTCTATCTCCTGAGGAAAAGCAATTTGGTAAATGTTACCCTAATGATGTAAAAAAAAATTAACTCATTATGGACTTGATGCCAGGTAGCCTGTGACATGTCACATTTAACACACTCTAATCTTTTGCTGGGAACCTGAAATTAAAGAAAAGAGCATACAATGAATCTGAACACATTAGTAATCAGAGTCACAGAATTAATTAGAAATATTCAGATAAAGTCCTCTATGGCTGGTGATTATTCCAGTGTCAATGTTATGATTGGAAGGTAGAGCAAGTCTACTACAGTTACCTTATTTTACAGGCAGCAGTTTTGAGCAAGGAAGATGTCACTGACACTGATTACAACAGGTGTACATTTCTGTCCAGTAACATTCTGCACATGTACTTTATAATATGTATGTTATAGATTATCACTTATATGATATACCTCAAATATATATTAAAATTTACAGCATAAGATAATGATCAATATCAAAGTTTACAGGGATTTTACTGGCTATTAAATATTGATAGCAATTCCCTATGTTAATAATCCTGTTTAGTGCATTATTATGCCATTCAATGTACACTAAATTCTATTACATGATATTTTGGATAGATGGTTAAAAAACAGGAAGGACCCTAATATTATGAGTAGTCCCTAATTCACTTTCATTTCAGTTGAATTCAGATTTCAGTACCTATAACATGGAACTGACTTTCATGTAAGATGTCATTATAAAGTTCTCTTGACTTTTACGTAGGTTCAAGGCAGATCAGACTCATCTGCTCTTTAATCAAGAGTACTCAGAAAAGAGAATATTTTTCTTTAAAGACATCCTTGTACAGTAAAAAGGTGACAGTGATTTTTATTCCTTCTACTGCCACCTCGCCAGAGCATGATTTAATTAGGATAAAGTACTATCTTCATTTGAAAGATAAATGCCTGACATAGAGTTGTGATTCTGCACTTCTTCATGACGATTAGGAACACAGGTCATATGCTGGTGACAAACAAATAGTTCTCCTTACTGTGATGAGACCAACCTGAGAGACTGCCACTCCTTTCTGAGCTGTTGTGAGAGCTGGTGGTGCTGAAATCCTGTGACTGGTTGTGTGGCATTCTATTAGACAATCCCTCAGCCAATCGGTAGTCAGGGATGTAAAGTAAGGCTAAGGGTTAAAGGGCAGAGGTCATAGTGGTATTATGTGATTAGTTCACAGCACAAGCCCATGCAGAACATGCAGTTAGCAACTCAGAAGCAGATGTTGGGGAGAGTGGAGGAATGTTTTTGTCTATCCTGTCCTAATGGAATTAGAGATGGATTGCTGGTCATCATATTGGAAAAGAGCTAAAGGAATGAAACCGATAGGTGTTGGTGTGTGATGGTGGCAGTGGTGGCCGAAGACGGTGGTGGTGGTGGTGGTGGTGGTGGTGGTAGGGATTGTTCAAGGTACTGAATACATGCTGGTATATCTTTTTTTAGTTTAGGAAGTAAACCTGGTAATGAATCACATAGTCAAACAACAGACACCAACTTCTATCTCATGCACAAATGATATGAAAACAACTCCGCAGGAACACAAGGACCTGACTCACCATTGTTACCTTTGTTCTGATCAGGCAGAGAATAACCAAATCCCATCAGATCTGTTTTTTGCTGAATGGAGCTTTTCCATTGTGGATCAGGCAGATCAACAGCCAGTTCATGTATGCTGTTAGAATGCAAGATCTGTGTTGTGGCATATGGGGTAGCCTGTGTTATTTGGCTGGAACTGTTGTAAGTGGTTTTGGTCGTGAAGTCAATGCTGCTATAAATGGCTCCATCTGAGAGCATTGTTGCTGTTTTATCCCCTTGGCCTGGAACTGGTGGCAGCACATCTGTGGGGAACATAGGGGAATGAAACAATTTAATGATGCACAGGAAGCCCCAAACTATCAGGACTGAGGATGAAAAATACTTGTGTCATGCAGCACGTTTGCATTTCCGCTGAAACGGGCTTCATGAGCCAATGAAGGGTAGATGATATACAACCGTCGCCAAGCTATCAGCTCGGTGACAGGCAGGCCTACAGCTCGCCCTTCATGTCTCACTGCTTAACGTACCCCATCCCCCATTTGCTCCAACCATGAATGGGAAGTTTGGGATATTTCACTACTGCAAAATGCATTCAGGTGTTCATTCTGTTTCAGAAGCAACAAAAGTGCTAGCGTTTCCCGGAAACAGTGATAAAAGAAGCTCTATAACTCAGAGATGAAAACATCTCTTTTCAATTTACCCCAAAACACATGGACTGCTACTGCTGAATAGTTGGAAAGATTTCCAAAAGTACTCTATCCTGACTAGAACGTACATTTTTTTGAAGTTTTAACTTGCTGTTCATATGATCTGATGTCATAGCTCCAGACAGGGAAAAAACTAATGGTAGAAAACATTTTTTTTCTTGGATAACAAAGGAAAATTTTCATGATAAGTCATTTTCACAATACGGCAGGATTTAACTATAGAAAAAGCAATCTGAGTGGTCGGTGAGTTTAATTTATGCTATCAACTCTTAGAAGTGGAGAATTATAGTTTCACGTTGTAATACAGCAAGAGTAAAATTAAACTTCAGGAACAACAGTGAATATAAATCAGTCCATTTATCATTTTGGTATGCTGAATTATCTTTACACGATACTTTATAATTCAGATCTGCCACCTTTCTCCTGAGCTCTTACTTTCTCTTTTCAGAATAAAGCTACTAAGTGAATCTAAAAAGGAAATCACTAGATAACACTATTTTCAATCCTGTAGAGTTAAGTGACACTAATTATAGTACATCCCTTAATCATATATGTTCTAAAACCACACTTCATGGGACTTAAGGTCATCTAACTACTTGACTTCATTAGAAAAAATTTTCAACTACCTTAAAACTTTTAGATTTGATGATACTCAGTAGCATCTGAAAGATTCACACAAACTATTGGTTTTGCATTTTCATCTTATAAAAGCTAAAATTTGTCTTCTTTAGCAACAGTTACAGGAAATTTATGTTTTGTACACTGTATAATTTCAATCTTTCTGATGGTTTTGAAGTAAAGAATCGTAATTTGCTTCACAATTAAGTGGATACGTATTCTGTTGAAATAAATATTTTACACACATATCATTTTGATTGTTAAACATATCCAAATTTATAACATTTCAGCAGGTTGAAAGCAGGTGAACTTGCTTTTGGAGTTCAGCATTTCACAACTACCTTCTTGCTCATTTTGCTTTTAAGTATAAAATAATTATAAAATTTGATGTAGAACAAGCATATTTCACTTTCCAGTGTAAGTATCACTTTTGTTCTTAAAATATTTATTACTTATTACGTTAAGATTGGACAAAATAGATCCCTCACTCTGGGTAAGTTTTCAGACTTCTCTTTTTGACATTTCCACCAATTTTTTTGATGATGAATAAATAGTAACTAGAAATGATTTTCCAACTTGGATCCCAGTTTCAGATCCTTTGAATCTGAGGATTCCAAAGCTTTAGTTTGAGATTGTAAAATACTTTAGCTGCAAGCTTTTGCATAAAATAGTTGTGTGCTCAAATGATAAATTATAGAGTAAAATGGTTCAAGAATGTAACTCCACATAGTACTACTCTAAAAAGCCAAAGCTAGTATGGCTCTGGAAGGCAAATCTCTCTCTCCCTGCTGCATTAAATTATAGACAGTTTTCAAATCCAAGTGCTTTATACTGATTTGGGGGCTACCCATTTTCTTCAAATATTATTTGATCACTCCCACATTTTCAAAAACTAAACTGAATTATATCCAAAAATTGAAATATTGGAAGATTATGCATGAATATTTGGATGTGGAGGAAAGTTCTTCAGCATCAGATGGTTTGGAACTCTGGGCAGCTTTCCTGTCAGAAGGCTGGACCTGAATAGGTGCTGCCATCTTTAGGCAGAATTTTCTATTTTCCATCTCTCCAAGTCCTAATTCCCCATCTAATGCTGTAGGCTGGCTGACTGAGGCTTACTAACACTGGTGTTTGAAACCTCGCAATTATAGAAACACTACACTCTAGCCGGAATTACTGACTCATTCGGTCAGTAATTGTCAGCCCCTTGGTTACCCTTACTCTTCTGCATTTATTATTTTTGACCTCATACAGTTATTTTTATGAATAGTTGCCTTCTCCACTGAATTATAAATTACTTGAGGACAGGAGTATATGGCATTTATGTCTGCATTTTCCATAATTCCTCACCTGATCTTGCAAAGAGAGTAAGCACTCGTTGATTGGTTACATGAGTTTGTTACAGTTGGCATTGGCAAATCATGATATAATAATTAATAAATTTATCGTTCAAATACAATTTTCATTGTATCCAGACATGCATTTGGTATTCTACTCTTAAAGGGAAAATGTCAGGATATGTGGTTCTAATTGGATATGGTTGCACAGTTATCCGTGTTAATTCATCTTTGAGCACAGAAGAGCCTAGGCTTGGAAAGCCGATCTGCATCCTGCACCTAGATCTCAAGTTATTCTTCTTGATAAACTTTAGTTTCTTGACTTTTAAAATGGAAACGATTATCGATGTCACACAAAATTATGCAAAGCAAATCAAAGGAAATCTTGCAAAAAATTTTGACAATATTTCTGGAAAATAGTAAATGCTTAAAAGCCCATGAGAGTATTTCAGGCATGGAAAGCCAAGACACTCTGGGGAAAAAAAAAAAAAAATGAAAGATCTCCACGAGTGAGATCCCAGTGGAAAGAACGGGTCATCAAAGAAGGAGGTACCTTTCTCTGAAGGGAGGAAAGAACTTCCACTTTGACCATGGCCTTGTCTAAATATGATCAGAGTCAGTGAACTCAGGGGGCTTCCATAGCCTTGGCAGCTCATGACAAGAGCCTAGGGTGATTACTGAGGCCATAAACAAGAGTGTCAATTTGTTAAGTCAACAACAGGAGTCACTGTGCACTTACTCCTCATGTAGGATCTCTGTCCTTAGTGCGCTGTACATTGAGATTTAATGCTATAACTAGTACTCAAACAGTATTTTTCACTTTATGTTTCTGTGTGGGAGCAAACTGTTGAAATCTTTACTTAATGTATGCTAAACTGATCTTCTGTATATAAAGAGAAATGAAAATGTATCTTGATGTGAATGGAAGGGGAGAGGAGTGGGAAAGGGGAGGGTTGCGGGTGGGAGGGACGTTATGGGGGGGAAGCCATTGTAATCCATAAGCTGTACTTTGGAAATCTATATTCATTAAATAAAAGTTTTAAAAAAATGGCTATAACACTGAACAGAGATATAATAAGCTGTGCAAAGATTTTGTGCTGGCCTTCATGTTCATCCGTGAACTATTTCATGTCATGAAACTGAGGTAGAAATAGGAGAAAAAATATTTGCAAATTTACGAAAAGTATCCTCAGTTTAAATTACACCAAGACATTTTGGATGTTAATGTAGCCACTAAAAAAACTTTTTAAAAAAAGATTTTTTTCATCTTTGGGCATTTCTTTCTTGATATAAAGATAAAACAATGTGCTATTCTGACACAACAGATCAAAACAGCAGCTAGTCCTTGATTGGTAAAAGCTTTGGGGACTGAATTGTTTTTGGCAAAATCGGGATGTGTGCCTTGGGAGGGGCATTTTCTTTCTCGGAGAAGAGAGGCTCGGCTACAGAAATCCACTATGCTTGAGTGCCAGCCTACATGTGCTCCAAGTGCGGTGACGCCAGGGAGGCTACCGTTCAGAGTTTCTGGGCAAGTGAAAAATCCTACCCGAGGTGTGCAGGTTTGCAGAGGGAACAGGAAGATACGGAGTCATATAACTTATTTTCTAGTCTCTCACTTACCCCACTATGCCTACTGAGCACTGATTGCATGTCCCACTCTGCTGAACCTGCAGAGTCATCTATTTAATCCTATTACACACCTACAAGCTAGGGATGGTTATTGTCTATACTTTACTTGGAGAAGAGGAAGGAGTTCTTCTTATAGTTGGTTTTGATAAAATGCAGACTTACAGAACATTAGTAACTCTACTATTTGAAATACCACATTTATTATATTTAAATGTATTGGTAATCCACTCTTAAGGAGACAGTGCCAGTATCCATAATTATTTTTCTAAGTCAATATGGTTATACCCAGATACATATGAAACCCCTACCCTGAGGCTTACATCAGTCTTTGAATGGCTTAGCATTGCCCTGGTTTTCCTGAGTTAACTCGAGAAATTGTAAAATCTTCCAGTGAGATGATCCAAATTTGCTGGGATTACATCCCTGTCCTAATTAATCAGCCCAGTTTTCTCCTCTTACTCTGTTCTCTACCTAGCAGCAGACTGGATGACCTAAACATTACATGGATTCCAGCATTCTCCTCTTAAGGATTCATCAACAGTTTCTGGTTACCCTTTCAACAAAGTTTAAACTGTTTTTGTGACTTAGAATGTCCTCTGGTATCCATATATCTGTATTTTTTTTACCACCTCTGTGGCCTGTACTTTATGTTTGAACCATTAGGAAATTCATCCGTTACTCAAATAGCTCAATGTCTCTCTTATTCCTGGACTTTAAAATATGGTAATTTCTTCTCCACAAACTTTTTCATATTTCAATTAATTTCTATTTCCCCTTCAGACATCCACATAATTCTTCCTTCATAGAGCTCTGTGACTCCCAATGGTAGCCTTTTTGGCAAGGCAGTGCAAGTCCTTTCACTATCTCTTCCATCGTTGAATGATGGAAAATTAAGATGAACCTGCCAAGCCAATCAAGGGCGTGACAGGCTGTCCTTCTCTGCCCATCCTTCTCTAATCCCATCTCATTCCCACTACCTGGATGCAATAGTGAGTCAGTGGGCTGTGGTAGTTATTTACAGTGGGTCCAAATTCATCTCCTTATAAAATCCTATCAAGAAGATTACAACAGCCAATTTTGGAAGTTTTCACATGTCAGCTGTTTATTATTATTTTTCATTTGGGATACCAGTTGTCAATTATAGAAGTATAAAACGATCTCTCCCAACTTGTGGTCATACTGACCAGGCTATCTTTTCCTTACATGACATAGTACATGAGAACAAGGATCATTTCTTCATATAACATAATTATATTACACTTTTATGTCTGCCATATTACTAGGCACAGGGGAGGTGCTCAATAAGTATTTGTTGAGTGATAACATAGAGATGTGAAATGTCTAGATCAAAAGTATAAGCCCTAATTTTAGCAACAGAGTTCTTGATCTCAGTAACCCTGTAATAATATTGCAGAAAACAAAATGTACCATGAATTGTTATCTTCTTATATGGTAATCACTTCTTTAAGAACTTGGTTTCACTCAAGGTAATATCAAGACAGTATTTCCATATTAAAACACTTAGCAAATGTGTAGCACTTTAGTACCTGTGCTTCATGAACTTTAAATATGGGAGAAAATATTCTTTAAAAATATAACCATAAATACATACATTTAAATAGAGGAGAGTAAAAACACAGCATTTTGAAAACCAACACAGCTTACCTCCACGGCCAAAATTCCCAATTTCGTTTGCGCCACTGTTGCTGTTGTTTACTGGCAAGCTTGTGGCCGGCCATGAATCAGCAAGCCACGGATAACTGGGATCACCAGCATTTAGAAGACCTGGACGGCTAAGACAGAAATTAGAAGGAAATCAACATATTGAACTCAACACAAGTTTTTGACACCTGGCTCTTGCCCTAAAACAGGTTAAGGCATTTAAGAAGATTTTAATTGACTTCAAATTAAAATGTGTAAGCTCCCAAGAATTAAGGAACTTCAGCAGTTCATTAAGGCTATATATAGATCAACTGTCAGTGGAAGCACAGAGACCTTGTTTAGGATTCTGCCGAAAGCCCAAGGAGTTCAGTTGTTTGCCCTGAAATTGGAGGGAATCAGTTACATAGTAGCACTTATGGGGTGATGATAAACTGGTGTCCCAAGGGAACAACTGCTCAGAGTGACTTTTCAGGATCCGCCATTTCCAGGACTTGGGATGATTCCTTCCTTAATTCCTGAGGCCCCCATATGAATCTGTCCCCACTAGGTGGTAGCCCTTGTTGTGAGCTCTCATGCTTAAATCAGAGGCAAGGAACTTCAGGGAAATCAATGGACACTACATATACTGTTCCATCAATAGAACATCTCCAAGTTTTCTACATTGCAAAATATCAAGAGTGTCTTAATTGGTTTTTTGGTTTTTTTTTTTTTTGACAGGCAGAGTGGACAGTGAGAGAGAGAGAGACAGAAAGGTCTTCCTTTTGCCGTTGGTTCACCCTCCAATGGCCACCGCGGCTGGCGCACTGCGCTAATCCGATGGCAGGAGCCAGGTACTTATCCTGGTCTCCCATGGGGTGCAGGGCCCAAGCACTTGGGCCATTCTCCACTGCACTCCCAGGCCACAGCAGAGAGCTGGCCTGGAAGAGGGGCAACCGGGACAAAATCCGGCGCCCCGACCAGGACTAGAACCCGGTGTGCCAGCGCCGCAAGGCGGAGGATTAGCCTAGTGAGCCACGGTGCTGGCCTTAATTGGTTTTCTTAAAGGTAATAAAAGATCCACTGTGATCAGATCCGAAATGTGAGTATACTGCACAGGGGAAACTGCTGCCCCATCATATTTAATAAAAAACTTCTCCTTTAATATAAAAGATGAGATCTGATACTTTTCCAGATTGTTAGCATATTTACAAAGAAATACAACATCTATAATCATTGTACTTTTTATTTATTTATTTTTGGTAAACCCCTTCTGGTACAATCCCTAAGAGAAACATGTGTTTCTATGGTAACTGCAATAAGGGGATCCGACTGTTTTCTTGCTACAGTCACTAGCTCTCATTAGACTTAATCTCTTTTTGCTAAAATATTGATTAAATGGGAGATTGGAAGTTATTACCGCAGCCTAATTACAATCTCCATATTGGCAAAGAGAAAATAGATGAGGATATATGGGTTTGTTATCAGCTTTTATCAATTTCAATTGAGTATCCAAAGTTGTGGAATCCAGTCCTATCAATCCACAGCCTATTCATCATCCATGAATCATTTACTTTGTGATCGATTATGTGTAATTGTTCACTCACAGCAATTTAGTGAGAGCCAATAAGGAGTCTTAAACAACAGCAACTTCATTTGCTAATGTCTAATTAATGCAATAAACATCCTGCTAACAAATGAACACATTCCTTGTGATATTTACTACTAATTTCTTCAGGGGCATCTGGGAGATATGAAACATCTGGATTTGATTCCTCTAAAGTGCACAACAGATAGATCACTAAACCTCATGGTAAGTCATTTAATTCCTCCTAGAATTCTCAGACTTATAAGTGATCGTTTATTACAGTAATAGCCTCTTACTATAGAATTTCCACAGTCCCAAGTAAACATAAAAATTTAAAAAAATCTCCTTAACCTACCTTCCATTGCTCATTAGTCCTCCATCTCCTCTTTGAAATGTAACTGTTAAAAAAAAAAGACAGACACACACGTAGTCAATATTAATTACAATTAATAACAGCTACATATTGGACTTAGTCTTGAACTGAGGCCTCTGGGAATTTTAACAAAATATAATTAACATAATTGTACAGAGAGCAACAAGCAGTGAGTTGACTCAGGGTAAAGCCATTACTTACTCCAACATTAGGAGGCTATTTTAAGATTCTTCAACTCAAATGCATGGTTAAGTTAAAGTGGCAATTTGTTTTTAGATGTGTAATACGGTTACAAGTACTATATATGTATAGAGGTATTAGAAGATCGACATAACCTTAATGTGTAATTATCAAATCAACATGTTGATTCTTGACACACACTATCTTAATTAGAAGGCATCAGGCATAATACACATAACTAAAATTGGAAAAGGGGAGTTCAAGCAGGTACTGTGCTTCCAATGAACAAGGGAAACAGATACTTACTGATTACATATTTCTCACCATCACAGATCCTTTCAGACTCTTATAAGCACAATGAGTTGAATAGTAATAATTACAATAGACATGAGCTATAATTAATAGAGAATAAGGTACTCATAAAAATTAAATTTTCAAATACTTGATACTGGGCATTGTATAATTGTATGTGATGATTGCAAAGCTCAACTCTTTCTAAAACTATGGAACTTATTAGCAACACTAACAAACATCTAGTTAGACCCATGGTCAGTGAATCCACTCCGAAGGCCAATAGTTTCCATTCCACAAAGCCAATAACGTGAAACTAGATTTCAAGGATTGGCCAAAGAACCTATATAGCAGGTCCATTATCCTTTATCCATACCTTTGCAGCTAAATGTATTTGGACTTCAAAATGACTCCTATAAGATAAAGGTAATACACTTTACACACGACATACAGGGTCTGAGTCAGAAGATTTTATTGAGAATTATTTAGTATTTCTGTAATGAAATGTGAACATTTGCAATTACTGGGATAAAGTCTATAAGTAGCTTCATTTAAGTTTGGATCAGATTTTGTTACTAAATTACTTACCCAGAAAATTATGGAAAAGAAATTTATTTGGAAGTTCATAGATGCCAAAATGGCAGTGAACTTGTAGTTCTGACCAAAATTAACATGTATTAGATAAACTAATGCCTAGGGATGAAAAAATTATGTACCATTTTCACAACTGTGAAGCCAAACACCCTATCTTTGGAAGATACTAATTGTATTTACTATGACTTTTTTATCAGATGAGTAAGGGAAAAAAATAAATGGTTTATTAATTGATTCATATTTTATATAAACTGAGGGTACATCCCTACTTAACATGCATAGTTAGTACTCTTTAAGTGAATGACTCCATAATCCTTCTGTTTCTCAAGTTTGGGCTGTCAAATATATACACTCTAAATTTTGTAAATTTTCAAATCAATTCTCCTGTTCATTGTGTAAGACCATCTAATACATTAACTCTATATCATAATAGGCAATATGATTCCATTTCTGAGGTCTATCAGGGCTTTCAGCAACGTCTTGTTAGTACCCAAAATATATTGCCCCAGTCAGCATTTCAGGTAGCATCCCAAATGAATTGTAAAACAACCCTGACATAATCTTTGCAGTTGTCTGGGGCTTGTTCCAGATAACTCCTTACAGCATCTGGAAAAATACTGATCCCTAAAGGCTCACAAGTGCTGGGAATCTAGGATCAGCACTGTATCTGTACCACATTGTACCCCTTCAATAAAATCCCTCAACAGAAAAGCATTAATCTGAAACAATTAATGAAAAGAATTGAGCACTGGCAGTATTAAACAAAGGCCTTATTAGGGGACACATACATACACACAATGTAAAAACACTACAGCTAATTAGCTTTCCATCTGATGTGACTTTCTGGTTATGTGGTTTTTTTAATGGACTATCAAGTAAGTGTTTTAGTCTGTTAAGAGAGAGTTCAGAGGATGCTGATGCTGTGAATATCATTGTGAATATGCAAATTAGCAGGCTCAGATGGGCTACACCTCAAAATGTGTTGTTTAGTAGATGTGTGAAGAACTAAACCATTCTCTTGCACTTAAATGCTCCTTTTTCCCTACTCAAACTTTATGTCACTGCCAAAGCAATGAATAACATCAAAAGAAAAGAGCACCAGTACAGCAGAGGTAGAAAAATTGAGTTGTACAAAACATTTACAAAGTAACCAAAGGCAAAGTCTCCATAAAATATAAAATTTCAAGTACTAGGATGTTACTGAAAACCTTATAAAAAAAAAAAGTCTCATTTACTAAGGCTGATTTGTAGACATGTTGGAATACAGGACATGTGGTACAGTCCATATTTGTCTATTAAGAATTGAATGTGATGAGTAAAAGAATTTAAATTTCAAAGCTTTTAATATTCAGTATTCAGTACATCTTTATTTTGTTTCCATTCTGATCATCATTAAAACTTTTTTTTTCAAATAGTTCTAAACTGCTAATAATCTATATTATTCTATAAACACATTTATCTTTGTATTTCTGTTTCTCAACTACACAAAGGCAAAAATTCATTGGCATTTTTATTGTAGACATGGTTGACTAACTTAAATAACCTTACACAACTTGGTATACAAGAGAGCCTTCCATTTTCTGTTTCTGTCCCAAAACACCCACAACACACATTTTATCATAATGAGTTGTTCAGTTGTGTTTTTTTAAGTCCAGGGTAAAAAGGGGACACTTTTTCAAGTTTCCTTTTTACCCTGTGCTCCAAAACTTTCAGATTTTGAAAAAATGGAGCAAAAGTAACTGAGTTCTATTAGATCTTGAGATTAAAAGCAGACTACAAATAAGAATAAACAATTAGAATTCCTAAAATGGAACTTAAATCTGGAACTTTGATCAGCAAAAACAAATGCCACAGCAAACTGAAAACTATTTTGAGGTGGTTCTCATTTCAAGGAAACATTTGCCTTGAAGTAAAAGGAAAGCAGGGTGGGAAGGTGATTGGATAATCTTATTTTTGTCACAATTTTGATGACAATTGATCAGAGGTAATTTGCAATAACTGTGAATCTTAGTCAGGGGTCTCTGCTAGTATCTAAAATAAGAAATAGCATGGAATACCAGCTAGAGATGTTACCTACAACTATATGAATAGTGCTTAAGGTTTCCACAGACATGACAATGCAAAATGTTTTAGAATTGCATGAAATAGTTTGCATTTCTTGCAATTTTTATAAAGGATACAAAGTAAAAAGATTTTTCAAGGTTATATCATAGGCAAAGTACCTCTAATATGACTTAGCAGGATTAATTCTTATCTATGCCAGCTAAAATTGGGGGACAAGGGATGGGAACATAGCTACATGGCAAGTTGACATTTTGAGGAAAGGAAGACTCCAGAGTGCCTATCTCTAGTGGGTCACATTTTCCCACTCCAAATGGAAACTTTAATGTAGTACCCAAGCTCCATGCCCTTCCCTGATAAGGAATGTAGATTAATCCTCTTTAATAAGTATTAACTCAGCCCAGATAATCAGAGTATAAAAATTCCATCAAATCTTTAAGCTGCCTTTGGATAGTTTAGTCAAATAAATTATATTTCATCAGTGGCCTTAAAACTCTGTATGTGAAGAGCTAAACAGTCTATAATTTACTCACTCATATTAAGTTGTACATGTTTACTGAATGTCATAAAATTTGCTATTCACAGGGACAATATTCATAAAATGTAACTTACCCTTTTAAAGGTAAAAATAAATTTACTCTCATTAAAAAGTTGATGAGTTCTGAAATTGTAAATGGGACTATCAATAGAACTGCTTTGAAAAGAATCATGCAGCCTTCATAAAGGTCATGATACAGTTATAACATAGAATATAGCTAGCTATATGTAATCCATCTGAAAGCTACATGGCTTTTCCTCAAGCTTACAAAGTTCATTTTCTATTTTCAAACACTATTATAGATATAATCAAATATTTACTCAATTATTATTTTCTGCCCAAATATCTTTACAATTACTCTTCCCTTTCTAACAACTAAAGTAGTCAATGTCTAGCAGTCAGGAACCCCACAGGCAGTAGATTGCTAGCAGTCAATGAAACTTAGGGTAAATAACATTGTGTGTTGTTCTAGAAAAGAGTATTATTTCATATAGAACATGAGATACAGGGATACTTTTTGTGTTCAAGTTGTCCATGTTTGGGCCATGGGTAAATCTGCATTGCATATTTGTATTTTAAGTATTTAAAGAAAGAATAAATATGAAAAACACAGAAGTGTGTCAGACTGTTCCGGGGGAATTCTCTACTTTCTGCCATGGAAAGAAACAGAACACATTCACATTACCTAGGAATTATCACTCCCAAGTAATTTCAGTTGAATTCATTTATTTTCCTTTTATTTGAATGCAAGAGATTGAAAAAGAGGAAGAAAGATAGAGATGACTGAGCCAGGTTGAAGCCAGGTAGCCAGAACTCAAATCTCAGTCTCCGACATGGGTGGCAAGGATCTAAGGACTTGAGCCATCACCTGCTTTCTTCCAAGGTATACATTAGCAGGAAGCTGGATCAGAAGTGGAGGAGCCAGGCTATGGGATGCAGGTGTCCCACATATCGCTGCACCAAATGCCGGCCCCCACGCTCCCAGAACATCTACATGTAAAGGTTGAATTGACTGTTGATAGTCATATTGCATATATAATCTGATTTATTCATGTTCTGATAAATATGGTTATTCCTCTGACACACAAAGAATGAAATCAACAATGTGTAGTAGGTTATATATATATATATATATATATTAGTTCTAAATGTTCAAATATCATTTTTGGAAATGAAAGCAAATAAAAGAGCAGCCATTATAAAAGTAATTCTGTGTGGACATTTGTTATCGAAGTTGAGACTCTCGTTAGGATGCCTGCATACCACATCAGAGCATCTGGATTGGATACCCGGCTCTGTTTCCTCACTATCTCTTTCTGTTAATGCAGACTCTGGGAGGCAGCAGTGATGGCTTGGGTGGGCCTCTGCAACATGCGAGAGGGCTCAAGTTAGGAGCCCTCCCTCTCTCTCTTCCTTCCTCCCCCATCTTTCTCCTTCTCATCTTCAGATTAAACAAAACAAACACCTTTTATAAAAAGAGTGGATACATTTTTGCCTATGTAGGGTGCATGGAAGACATCCTGCCCAAGTTAGAAACTCCACCCTGCAAGGTATTCTTATGTCTTCCAAGTAGTTAATATCTTCCCCTTCCTACTGTAGTGCTTAAGAAGACATTCAGAATGAAGAAATAAGAAAAAGGGAGTGCTGAAAACAAAGGTGACTGGCTTTACAATACTACTTCGGTCAGTCTAACTTTATTAAATATATGCAAATTACATCATATCTTCTACTATATGAAGTTGTGTGTCTATAATTTCAATTGAAGCCTTAAATAAGTGAATTATCCTGTGATAAAGATTTACCTACTAGTGCCAAAATTGACTGTTAATTAGAAAAAATATTTATTTCTGCTTTCATGAATCAATGATTTGAGACTATCTAGATATGACCATGTGGTGACACTGTGGGAATGTTAGACTTTTCATCTGGTAAGTCAAATCACATTGCATTAATTATACTGGATTTAGTTTCCATACTTATAAAATTAGAAGGTTTCCTGATAAATATTTACAAAAACCAACATATATGGTTTCCTGATAAATATTTACAAAAAACAACATATATGTTCCATATAGAATCTTTGTGTTCTTAAAATGGATTATTTGTTCATGCCTGAAATAGCAGAAATAGAAACATATGATAAATCTTGATAACCATTCCTACTAATAATTCTGTTCTTTTCCAATGTATAAGGATAATAACACGAAAATTCTAAAAGATGGAGGAGAGACCATTTTTGGAAGGGAATGTGTGCAAAGTCTCACCACATCTGAGATGCAGTGCTAGGTACCCGCAGCTTGGGTTTTCATTTGCTTTTCATCTGGAAGAGAACATCCGTTGCTAGAAGGCAAATTATCTGCCAAAAGGAAATCCATTCTGAGAGTCGGCCATCTATCAATTAAGTATAAAAGTTTTGAAAGCCCTTTCCCTGGCTTGGCCTTCTTCCAAAATATTTGAAGGGCGTATCACCTTCTGAGTTAGCAGTTCTTCAGCAAGCAGACTGCTATCAATCACAATGAGAAATGAAGATAGGAAATGTACTATTCTTGTCAAGCTCAAAGACCAACAGATATTTTCCAATTAAGTGCATAGAGTTTTCAAAGAACTGCTGTTGAAAAAGAAAAGTCTGTCTACTATAATTTCTAACAGTGCAAACCTACTAGCTGTGAGAGCTATTTTATTTATAAAGAGCGAGTGAATGAATAAGCATGGAGGATCAAAGGCACCCTCCCAAATGTGGATGTATTGGAACTCTGCACTGAAGTGACTGCACAGTCATCTTTTATTATTGTCCAGAAAGGCAAGTGCAGGGATAAAACACAAAATAGTCCTTGAATTAAATTAGTTCTTCCTGATGTTTTACATGATTTATACGAGTGTGTCACAGAGATGAAACGTAACATGGTGACTCACACAACAGATGGGTGCCGGAAGAAGGCAGAGGGGAGAAGGTAGAGAGAGGCACTTCAAAATGAGAAGGTACATTGAAGTATTGTGAAGGTTTGGGACCCTGAAACTCAGCAGTTATTTCCAAGCCCCTCTTCCTGACGTGACACGACTGGGCACTTAGGTACAGATCTAAAGGAAGCAGGCAGCCAGCAACCGATGAGAAACGAGAATGGCAACATCAGCGCATGACCACACATAGACACTCCTTGCCAAAGGACATGCTATCCCACTGTCCTCTCACTCTCCCAGTGTATTCTAACCAATAATTAAGAAATTTTATCTTTGTAAAATATAGACATGAGACAAAATGGTATCATCAAATGATATTTAAATGCTGTCAAATAACTAGGAAGATGACCAAGTTAGTGCTATCCCTTGCATTTTGTACTATTTAGACATTCTCAGTAGCATAGATTCCTACAAGATACAGCAGGTTAGAAGCTTAATAAGTAAAGAGGCTCCTGTCAAAATCAGTTATGCTGATATCTATGCATCTTACAAAACATTACAAGATTAAATATAGCTTCAACAATCTCCAAAAGCATTTGCTGCATAATGTAAAATTATGACTCCTTCTTTATGAATTCTAAAAGTATAGAATATTGTGAGGCAATTTTGTTTTATCGCCATTGTTGGAGAAGATATTTAAAATGAATTGCAGATATAACTAAATGACACTTCAGTATTAAGTTCATTTTCTCAAACACTGACTTTATACATTTCTTTCTTCTCTCTCTCTGCCTGGGAGATATCTTGAAGGCCATACATTCTAAAATCATTTAAGTTTTGCCTTGGAATTTAAGAAGAAAACATTTTTGCAAACATTAAACCACCCAGGATCATCTTTTTATTATGTTGCTTTTCCTTCTTTTCCTTTTGCTTCCTTATAAACGGCTGCTTGTTTGCATTGACAGAGACCCCCTATTTAAGTGAATAGTAAATCACTTATTTCATGCCTCATCAGTCTTATTAATTCTGGTGAGATTTTGCTTGTTTATATTTTCCATCTGGGACATTGCCTGTTGCAATATGCATCCTGACCCACGGGAAAGTATGTTTCAAATCTTTTCTTTTTCCTAAGCATTTTAGCAACGTCATGCCTATATCCAGTTCTCACACAATGGCTCCCTAACCTGTAAGGTCTTGTATGGTTTTGAAGAACTAGTTGAGAAAAACAGTGAGGCATCTTGTCAGTATGTACTCCTGTAATGCTTCACTGGAGATATGAGCCATAAGACAGCCTTCTGGTCATAAAGCACTATGGTCAAGAGCAGTGAACTAAAGCATGTTGTCATAATTGCATTTTACAAGGCAGGATTTCAAAACAAGCCCAGACCCACGTTTCTTATTCCATTCCATTCCTTCCATTCATTTCATTACATTCTGAAAGAGGTTTTTCTTTTTTAGCCAGAAATTGTCTCTTACCAGCATAATTACTGAGTCCCTTTCTCTTCTTTCTTCGCCAATACAACCAGATGCTAAAACCCATCAAAATTACCCAGCAGGCACCACCAATCCCAGCTATAAAGGCTGGTTGCTTCACAACATCAGTGATTTGCTCAGTTATGCTGTTGTTATTTTCAGTAATAACAACTTCATTACGTCCCCCTATGGAAAAAAAATAATAGTAAAATAAACACAAGAACACATACATGACGCACCAAAGGCACAGACAGTTCCTTCAAAGGCAGGTATTTGCTTTGTTCCAAACCTGTCACAATTATTGATAAGCATATTAGATATTTCAAAGGAAACATCAAAACATAAATTTAGAAGAATGTGGTTACCTTATGTTTTGGTTTGCAACTGAGATCCATAACTACTTCCTGATTTACCACCTGTTATATTAAGTGCTAGGAACTGAAGTATCAGCAACTTTGCTTGATTTTAATACAGTTCTCCTTAAAAATTACATTTAGTACAAGGTATTTACAGATCACCTCTCTGGTATGGCACTGCCAATATTCAAATGTTCATGATTCATAAGAATATAACTTGATACTATTAATATTCTACCAAATTAGTTATTTTTGTCAAGCATACTTTAATTTTCTGGAAAATACATACTACATAAAACAATGACACTTATGTAAGCATTCTTTCACAGAGATCAGCCTGCATAATAAAATGTCATGAAAAAGGAGAACTCCTGTACTCCCTTAAAGTATTTGAAACTAATTTGAGTAAAATATGAAGCAAGATTCCTACCTTACACTTTACACAAAAAGTCCATTCAAAATGGATTAAAGACCTAAATCTATGACCCAATACCATCAAATTACTAGAGAGCATTGGGGGAAATACTGCAAGACCCTGGCCTAGGCACAGAATTCCTGGAAAAGACCTCAGAGGCACAGCCAATTAAAACCAAGATCAACAAGTGGGATTACATCAAATTGAGAAACTTCTGTACAGCAAAAGAAACAGTCAGGAAAGTAAAGAGGCAACCAACAGAATGGGAGAAATTATTTGCAAACCATGCAACTGATAAAGGATTAATAACTAGAATATATAAAGCAATCAAAAAACTCAATAATAGCAAAGCAAACAACCCAGTCAAGAAGTGGGCAAAGAATATAGAGAATCGAAAATGAATCTTGATGTGAATGGAAGGGGAGAGGGAGTGGGAAAGGGGAGGGTTGCGGGTGGGAGGGATGTTATGGGGGGGAAGCCATTGTAATCCCTAAGCTGTACTTTGGAAATTTATATTCATTACATAAAAGTTAAAAAAATACATAAAAAAGAAAAAAAAGAACTTAATAGACATTTCTCAAAAAAGGAAATCCAAATGTCCTACAGACACATGACAAAAATGCTTAGGATCACCAGCCATCAGGGATATGCAAATCAAAACCACAATGAAGTGTTATCTCACACCAGTTAGAATGGCTTTCATAAAGAAATCAACAAACAACAAATGCTGGGGAAGATGTGGAGAAAAAGGTACTCTAATCCACTGTTGGTGCGAATGCAAACTGGTAAAGACACTATGGAAGACAGTTTGGAAATACCTCAGAAATCTGAATATAGTCCTACCATACAACCCAGCCATCCCACTCCTCGGAATTTACCCAAAGGAAATGAAATCAGCAAATAAAAGAGTTATCTGCACCTCCATGTTTATTTCAGCTCAATTCACAATAACCAAGAATCAACCTACAGGCCCATCAACGAAAAACTGGATAAAGAAACTATGGGATATGTACTCTATGTAATACTACACAGTGGTTAAAAAAAAATGAAATCCGGTCACTTACAGCTAAATGGATGAATCTGGAAAATATCATACTTAGTGAAATAAGCCAGTTCCAAAGGGACAAATACCATATGTTCTCCCTGATCTGTGACAACTAACAGAGCACCTAAAGGAAACCTGTAAAGTGAAACTGACACTATGAGAAGCAATTAATGAACAGCCCTTGTCTTGACTGCCTAGTAACAGTTTATTATTTTATTTTATTTATTTTTTATTCTTTTTTTCTCCACTTAATACCATTGGCTGAACTCTTTACTTAACATATAATTAATCATAGATGTATTAAATGAAAATATATGCCAGTTAAAAATAAGAATGAGAATGAGAGAGGGAGGAGCTGTACAGATCAGCACACATTCCCACAGACTTAACCCTGAGGATGAAGCTAAAAACTTGCCATGGGTCTACAAATCCCATTTAGCTGGGTGGTATTAATCTCATCTTATGTGATAAAGTGATCATATTAACTATGGAATTGATCACATAGATAGGACCATAAGTCAAAGGGATCACATAAATAAGACGAAGTGCCGGTCAGCGCTGCGGCTCACTAGGCTAATCCTCCGCCTGTGGTGCCGGCACCCCGGGTTCTAGTCCCAGTTGGGGTTCTCAATTCTGTCCCAGTTGCTCCTCTCCCAGTCCAGCTCTCTGCTGTGGCCCAGGAATGCAGTGGAAGGTGGCCCAGGTCTTTGGGCCCTGCACCCGCATGGGAGACCAGGAGGAAGCACCTGGCTCCTGGCTTGGGATCGGCACAGCGCACAGGCTGCAACACACCGGCCGTAACACACCAGCCATAGCGGCCATTTGAGGGGTGAACCAGTGGAAAAAGGAAGACCTTTCTCTCTGTCTCTCTCTCTCTCACTGTCTAACTCTGCCTGTCAAAAAAAAAAAAGTAAAAAAAAATAAATAAATAAGATCAAGTGCCTGGTAATAACAATAGATAGAATTACAAAGGAGAGACAAAATTTCAACATGGGAAGCAGTCCACACAGCAGACTCATAGAATGACAAATACCTTAAACAGCACTCTGACCTCAGAATCAGCACCTAAGGCATTTGGTTCTGACTGAAAATACCATAAGAGCATTTTAGGCATGGAAGGCCAAGACATAGTGGCAAAAATGGTTCTGGATGAAAGATCTATGTGAGTGAGACCCCAGTGGAAAGGGGCCGTCAAAGGATGTAGTTTCTCTGAAGGAAGGAATTTCCACTTTGCATATAGCCCTATCTAAAAACAGACAGAGTTTGTGGACCCAAAAGGCTTCCATAGCCTTGGCAGCTCATGTCAAGAGCCTTGGGTGATCACAGACAGTGTAAATAAGTGTGTCAGCTATTAAATCATCAACATTGTGTGTCTGTGTGGGTGCAAATAGTTGAAATCTCTACTTAGTTTAGAGTTGGTATTTTGTATATAAAACCAATTAAAACGGAATCTTAATAGAAAATGAATGGGAGAGGGAATAGGAGGTGGGATAGGAGTGGGGGTGGGAGGGCAAGAATAGGGGGAAGAAACACTATATCCCTAAAAGCTTTACATACATAATTTGTATTCATTAAATAAAAACCTATAAAAAAGAAACTAATTTGAAATTCCTTTGAAATCTGAATATAACAGATAACTGTAAAATTAATTTTATGTTCTCCATAACTAAAAAAAATTATATTTAAACTAGGATTATTCTAGAAGTGGTCATGTTTTTGAAAACTTGGACCTCTCAGAGGCAATGATGAAAATCTTAGTCCATTTTTATATAAGGTTTTAAAAGGCACGGAAAATATCAATGATACATTCAGTATTTCATATCAAGAAAGACATAAGATTTTCATTGTTTTAGAATCATGGTTCAGTAATATATTAGAATGAGTATAGTCTGACATCCTGGATTTGAGTACCATTTCTGTCACTTACTAATCAAATAAGCAGTAAGCATATACAGGGCACTTCATCCTTTTGAGACCCTGCTTCAGTCATTTAGCAACAGTACTGTATACATATTTTGGGAAGGTAATTGAAGTGATGATGAGAAAGAGGTTGGGAATACAATACTTTTTGGATGAAAATTATGATCCATGTAAGGCTAATGGCTACCTGAAGAGCTCTTCATTCAACTACAGGAACATATTTTTAAGTTTTTTCAATCCACATGTGACTTGTTTAAAACCCTGCTTCTCCTTTCCTTGAGGACAGAAAATGAGCCTACCTTCTCATTATTCCTTGCAGCTGAATACAACAAAGTGCCTAAGTATTAGCCAATGGGACATGGGCACATGTCATGCACACTCTCTCAAGGACTGACCCATAACACTGAGTTGACAGTACTGGACATTCTTTCTTCATGCATTTAGTAGAAACCTGGACATGTAGGAGGATACTGAGAGGCTAAGATGTGGTAGAGATGTTGTTTGGAAAGAACTAATTCCCTGAATGACTGCATGGGTGAAACTCCATTCCCCATTCTGCTGACCCATGTAAGACTAATCGCTGAATAAGAAAGAAACTTGTTTTGTTAAGCCAATCAAAATGCAGGCTTGTTTGTTAAGGAAGCTAGTGTTTCCTCAACCATATTCGTTTTCCACTCCTGTGTTAAATTCCAGATTTAAAAATCAGCTTCTCTTGTGCAGTGACCTCACTCACTGTCTCAATACGTGTACCATTGATAATTATACATGCATAAGAATAAAACAGTATTTAAAATGACTTTATAATGCTAACAGACCTAGCTGATGAACTTCTCAAGCATTAGCAGTTACTGAAAAGAGAAAACAAACAGCTTACAGAACAAATAGAAATTTATTTTTCTCATTTTTTAAAGGGTTTATAAAATAAAAGATCACATTTTAGTATGGTACAATATTAATGTTATTCAGGGTACATTACTACTTTTTATGCTGTTAGTATTTTTGAAACAATGTTGTCAACTGGACTAATTAGAGCATAGACATGGATGTGTGTGACCTGTAACGCTCCATTGTTCTTGCAGACAAAAAATATAATGAAATATAATGTGTCCCTCCCATTGGAGAGTAATGAAGAACAAAACTAATTTGTTGGACTAAAAATTAATTAGACACATCAGATTCGATTGTACCTATTACTGTGAAAGTTTGCAGCTGTTCCACATATTATTACCAACTATGTAATGTAAGCGTGAAAAGACCAAATGATTAGAGAAACACTAGCTATATTATCAAATATATACTGAAAATTTTAAGTCAATGTATATTTATTATACTAGATGATTGTTTGAAGCTTGTATACGTGAATGTATTTGGTTGTATTTTTGTGTCTACAATTGTTGATATTTTGGTGTAAATGTAACCTTATCATAGGAAACTGCAAATAAAAGATCAC